ACGCGTCTTTCATTCGACTTAATGGAACCCAAATTTGCAAATTAAGGGAAAACAAATTTTGTCAAATGTTGGCTTTTGACAAAAATCAAAAAAGAGTGAAAGGTTTCTTCTTTATGCCATCCTAGAAGTCATTGGCTGTGTTGGAGAAAGAAACAAGTTTGCATAAGCAGTTTAATTAAGTGAAATGTTTATAATAGCAATTTTTGTGACAAATCTCAGATCTCTGTCCCAGCCTCTGCCTAACATCACTGATGCTTTCATCTCCTGATTCTGATCCTATCACACTCCTGCTGGCATCATGGTCCTAATCTACATCATGCTCTCTGTACACATTTAAACCAGGATTTTGTCTCATATTGTCTTCATCACTTTCTTCCTCCTCAGACCTATATCAACCTCTGAATGCCACGTAAGTTGTCTTTAGTCTGTCATACAGTATGTGAATCACTGACATCTATAAATGTCTGCAGACTACTCCTCGATGAGACGATTTGGCATCAGCAGCGATATAAATCAATCAAATACAGGCTTAACTATGGGCTTGGTCTAATAAACTTCGAACATTTTATTTATTTATTTTAGGTGTTGGAAATAAGAGCCCTCGCAATGAAATAGGTCTTAACACTTACAACTAGAAAAGCACCCGTGAAGCACAGGCCCATGCCAAGAGTTTCGATATCTAAAAAGAGATCTACACCCCAATGTGAACAAAATCAACATTTGGTTATAGTTCAAGTAGATCCACACTTCCTACAGGTTCTATTTATGTATGTGGAAATAAAACCTTAAAAAGACTATTTTTCATGGATGCTTTTGTAATATCTCTGGGATTCTTGTATTTATTTCTCTGCTGCATAGTTCCACCTCTCCGCTCCTCATCAGTCTCTGGTTGTTAAGAATGCTATGTTTTCTCAGACAGTGAATGTGTCTGTAGAAGAAAGCCCACACAGTTCTCAGGTAGCTCGTCCTGTGTGACTGTGACTTTCTCAGCTCCTGTACAAAAACAGCTGTCCTCCTCATTTTCCGCAGCTGGCCTCACTTTGCCTTCACCTGTGCGCTCCTGTTCTCCATTAGGCTTTTCTTTCACACTGTTCTGAATCCTGACGGGCAGCTTGTCAATCTCTCATCGCATACTTTCACTGAGGGCTGATTGGATGTCATACGTGCTGCAAACATGTCAGTCTAAATAAACGGTGCATAACTTTGCCTTTGTTAGTCAAAGAGTTTGGGGAGACATTAGGAGAATCAGCATTGGAAGCTTTTAACCATCTGACAATGGCGTGCGTCCATTCAGTGTTTGATTCATTCATAAATGTTAACTTTGATATATATAAATAAAACATATGGATGAATATAATCTTAAGTTTTGTCACGCAGTTTCATATTAGTATACAAAACCAAATAATTATATTTCAATATTATCCATAAACTAAAATTAGAGATTGCACATGGTGTAAAAGCGATCGAACGATTATGGGCTGAGTGTAAACAGACGTGCTAAAATGGACCGCGTAAAGTGGCCCGCATCTTTCAGCTCTATGAACATGCGGGCCGCATCGGGGAAAAGACGGTGCGCGTTTTGTTGAGAACTTACGGTAACAGCGGAAGTCCTTTCGGGTCACCCATTATTTAATCGAACAGAAAGCGCGCTGGGGTCAGGGAGACACGTTTTTGTGATTTAAAAACCTTATAGAGATGAACACATAGCACCAGCCCCCTACGATTCCTCCGGCAGATTGTGAGTCCTCAGGAGGATAGCCACTCTATTGTTTACATATATAAAGTACACAATTTGGTCCGCTAGTGCAATTTTCAAGTATTGTAACTATTTACTGGAATAAGGTGTGCGACTAATTTCACTTGACTCATGAGCTTATTATTGCCCTCTACCACTGTACCAAAGACCAGAAACTTTTACTGTAGAAATATTGAGAAATATTGAGGTAAAGTAGCCATTTTGGTCCAAAATACCTCCAAAATAGTCAAAACATGTCACTTTTGATCTACTGTAACTTTTTACTGTAAAAAGGTGTGCGACTAATTTCACTGGATTCATGACCTCAACATTGCCCTCTACCACTGTACCAAAGACCAGGAACTTTTACTGTAGAAAATTTGGAGAAATATGGAGTTAAAGTAGCCATTTTGGTCCAAAATAGCCTAAAAATGGTCAAAACATGTCACTTTTGATCTACTGTAACTTATTACTGTAAAAAGGTGTGCGACTAATTTTCACTGGATTCATGACCTCATGATTGCCCTCTACCACTGTACCAAAGACCAGACACTTTTACTGTAGAAATATTGAGAAATATTGAGGTAAAGTAGCCATTTTGGTCCAAAATAGCCTCCAAAATAGTCAAAACATGTCACTTTTGATCTACTGTAACTTTTTACTGTAAAAAGGTGTGCGACTAATTTCACTGGATTCATGACCTCAACATTGCCCTCTACCACTGTACCAAAGACCAGACACTTTTACTGTATAAATATTGCGAAATATGGAGTTAAAGTAGCCATTTTGGTCCAAAATAGCCTAAAAATGGTCAAAACATGTCACTTTTGATCTACTGTAACTTATTACTGTAAAAAGGTGTGCGACTAATTTCACTGGATTCATGACCTCATGATTGCCCTCTACCACTGTAACCAAAGACCAGGGGGGGGGGGGGGGGGGGGGGGGACACTTTTACTGTAGAAATATTGAGAAATATTGAGGTAAAGTAGCCATTTTGGTCCAAAATAGCCTAAAAATGGTCAAAACATGTCACTTTTGATCTACTTGTAACTTTTTACTGTAAAAAGGGTGTGCGACTAATTTCACTGGATTCACGACCTCATGATTGCCCTCTACCACTGTACCAAAGACCAGGAAACTTTTACCTGTAGAAATCTAGAGAAATATGGAGTATAAGTAGCCATTTTGGACCAAAATGGGCTTCTTTAAATCAGTATTTCTCAAAATTTCTACAGTTAAATGTTGTCTTGTCTTTGGTACAGTGGTAGAGGGCAAGTGTTGAGGTCATGAATCCAGTGAAATTAGTCTCACACCTTTTTACAGTAAAAAAGTTACAGTAGATCAGCCATTCCTAAACTCAGTAACACCGAGGCCCCCTTAAAAATCTGACGGGTCTGCGTGGCCCCCCAAAATAATAACCAAGAAGACAACATTAAGAATAGGCTCTTCTGGTTATTTTATTTTGGGAATAGCCTCTGCTACAAACATTGTAATACAAAAATGATTACAGTGGATTATTCAAGTCAAATAATGAACACAAATATTTTAATATTACAAACAAAACATTATAAATTAACATTAAAATAATTATATTATTTTTTTATTTTTTTTATGACCTCAGCTCCCGCGGCCCCCCTGCAGTACCCTCGCGGCCCACCAGGGGCCGCGGACCCCACTTGGGAGACACTGCAGTAGATCAAAGGTGGGAATTTTCTTAGTTTGTGTATTTGGACTAAAACGTGTAATTTGTCTCAATTTTACCACACAATTTCCAAAGTAAAGGTTTGTGGTTGTAGGCACAGCGGTGAAGGCAGTGGTGAGGTCATACACCCAGTGGAATAAGATACTCAAGTCTTTACTGTAAAAATGGACAGCAGCTGAAAAATTTCACTTTTTGAACCAAATTTAAATGTCGAACATTTTAAGTTTTTACATGCTTTTCCAAATAAGGGTTTATTCACAAAACGAGTCGCCTAAGCGCGCTTTCTGTTCGAGGAGAAAAACTGACAGCGAAAGGCTGTTCTGCGATTACCGTAAGCAGTCAACAAAACGCGCACTGCTTTTTTCTCGATGCGGGCCGTTTTTACTTCGGAGGTGAAAGATGCGGCCCACTTTAACCGCGGTTAAAATGGGGCTGATGCACGCCTAAATCGATTAAAATACCAATAAATGCCTGTAACCGATAATATGATACATCCATGGCTGTAACCCTGCTCTGCATTAGCTGAGCATGGGCTTGCTAGCATTAGCATTACTCACATTTCTTGAGCCACTTCATCCAGGAACGGACAATTTGGACGTGGTGTTTCTTATTTTCAATGCACCAGGCGGATAGTCCCTGTAATGGACTCCATACTGTTCGGATATTCCTTGAAATTTCCGATACCAAAGACGATTCCATAGCTGTAATGGAGCCGCGGCTCTCCTGACCGCCTGCAGCCTCTGCAACCGGCCGCCATCTTTCCAATCCTCTATCCCGAGAGCTGCGCAGTACGAATGGACCAGTGGCGGTCATGAAAGCACAAGAGCAGGGGGCCACTAGGGGGAAATAGAGGCCCTCGTGAACAGATACCATTTGGTTCACATCCAGACTGTGAAACTTGAATGAGGTACAATGTTGCGCAGACAGATGTAGCTACATTAATTTATTGGACTGGTTGCAGTCTTACATCATAAAAGAAACTGCAAATGTATTGCAATTTCAAAAAGAACACTTGTCTTTATTTTTCTGCAAAATCTAAACCAGTCCATCGTGACGTTTACAGTTCACACGAAACAAGTATTATATATATTTTCACAGTGGCTCTTTATTTTTGGATGTACCTTCTTCAGCTCGGATGGGCTCGACTTCCAGGGATACATAGAACAGATTAATTAACAGGAAACACAGTCCAAAGCTCCATTGTTTATCTTAATCACTCAGATTCATAAGCCCAAAAATGTTGCATTATTCTAATTACACAGCCTTTATTCAGGTGCATCAGTCTATAGACAGAAGCTTTCATATGTCAACAAACCATGTTTACAAGTTGTAATCTATTTCCTCAATAAAAATACAGAGAAATTAAGGTGTATCTTCGTCATCTTCAGGCTTGGAGATCACAAGCAGTGAGAGAGGAAACAATTTTTTATATAAGAAAATATCTTGTTTAAATCAGTCATCAGTGCCATCCAACACACTATGACTCAGTGCAAGGTCCCAGTAGTGTTCAGTACGGTGCTTCTTGAAATGTTCTCTCGCCATACTTTCAGTGGACACTGTTTAAAACTTGATTTCCCCAAAACTGCGCTCCTTAGCAGTGCCCTGGAAAGACATTTGGTTTTAAAATCATGAGAAAAATGCAGCCGTGATCCCACATTCCACACTGCTTCACACCATTAAAGGACTGAAGTAACCTCAAGATTTACATGAACATATTTGTTAATGATGTATAATAGCATATTTTTTAAATATGGACGAAGAATTGATCATCGAATAAAACAGTGAAACGCTAGATTAATCAAGTATCATACACGTTTTTTCCAGCACTAATTTATACATAAAGACTAACCTCCCATATCAGCCAACACTTGTTATTCCTCTTTGTATCATCATCATCACGATCTAAATGAATAAAGAAATAAGTTTTATTTCATGTGCAGAGAAACAAAGAAAAACAATGTCAATTACCATCTCTTTTACTGCTGAGTTCTACCCATTTGATTCTGTGCATCATGAGCCTTTTGAATTTCTTTTGTGATTTGGGGCCTAAGAAAAAAAAAAAAAAGGTTTTCAGTAAATTCACTTAAAGAAAATGTGGTTTGTTGTCAACATCAGCTTGCCTCCTTCCACCACTACAAATGTTACTGTCTTTATGCATAACGACAGTGCCCGTCAGGTACAGTTGGTTGGCATTGGCCTCAACCTTAAACTTTTTGGCAGGATTGTGCAAGTTGCGGATTCTGTAAGCAAAACAATGAAATTGAATTATCAGTAGGTGAACAAAACAACCAGTATCTTTTATTTGACAAAACATAAATGCAAATGTTCCCTACTATAGCAGTGTTCAAGTTCTGTAGTCAAGATTTTTTTTTTTTTTACTTTATAAAATTGAAATACATCTGAATAGTACATATTAGTACATAATTATAAAGTCACCAAATTTCCTCAGTTCAATTACACTTCAGCCAAGTCAGTATTCATAATTATCTGAAGATCATTAAAACACAAATACAAAAAAAATACAAAATACCTGTAAACTGCAATATGAACACATTAGTTAGGTCTTCTTTCAACTTCTTCACTTTCTTTTCTTTTCTTTGTTCTGCTGTGAGCTTACGAGCTGCATTGGCCTCTTCATGAGCCCTGATAGAATGGGAAACATTACAGCAGATGTACCAAACACTAGACAGTTTCAATAGGACTTACTTCTGTCGTTTGGCCATCTGTGCTCGAAACGTGCGCTTCAACCTTTGTGGGGTCCTGGACTGCCTCGTCCCAAGCACCCTCATCAGATTAGAAATACGAACTATGAAAAATACCTCTGATTAGATCAATACAAAACACAATGTGTTCTCGTTTCCATTTAGTTGGTTTTAGTACCTTTGGGTTCTGGTGGAGGCATCAGACCCAGACGCACTCTTTCTTGTACTTCTTTTTGGCCTTCTCTGCGAGTTTGTCGTCTGAGCTTTTTTTGTTCTTTCTTTGTTAAGTATACGCCTAGCGTTACCGCTTTATCCATGTCCACTGGAAAATAAACACATACTCAAGTATGAAAATAAAAGAACAGTATGAATTATTTCCAAATGCACAACACAAAGTCATTGTTTGCCTTCCTCATATTAAATCAAAATCACACAAAACAAATATAAAAAAATATCAATAAAGGCCTTTCTGAAGGTTTACAATATATGACCAGGGGGAGGGGAGGGAAAACGCATATGTGCAACATGCTTAAACCAACTAGCTGAAATATAGATTAGCATTGATATTTAATGAAGAAAATTGATTAATATATAAAGCCAATAGATACATAGTTCGACCATTATGAAATATCATCAACTCACCTGGTGGTTTTATTTGAGCTGGGTGTTCTACAAGGTTTGTTACACCAAAAAGCTCCAATTCTTCAAATTTAGTCTGTGAAGCACTATTAGAAAATGGCTATATTTAGAATACAGATTTATTGCTACAAAAGTTAGAATATAACATATATATACAGACATAAGCTTACTATTCTTTATTTGTAGGTAAGATGTACGAGTCCCACCACTCGATGTGGGGTACCTCTCCTTCACCAAGCTCCTTTTTGGGAGCAATCAGAGCTAGCTTTGTGGAGGCTTGGATTCCAGTCTTTCTTGCCGCCTGAGCAATTTCATTCTGTAACTTCTCCAACTGGGCCTGATTGTGATCACATAACAACATTTTGGTAGTACAATTGCATTTCAAACGTGTACAATGTTAGACCACGATTATACCTTTGTTCTAATTCTTTGTGCTATCTTCTCAAAACGACCCTGTTCATGAAATTTGAAGCCCTTGCGAATGCGCTGAGCAGGTGCCACAAGCACACGATTGTCAAAAAAGGTGGATTCTAATTCCTCTCCAGGCTTCTCCTTTAGCTGCTGTCGGAATTGCTCCCTCTTTACAGCACGGATATTGGCTGCAGAAAGAACAAACGTACATGAAAAACTTGGTATACACATTTCTTCCAAGACTGAACTGTATAGTTATAAAAATAAAAACTCAAACCGGACAGGGGGACGTGATTTCACATAAGTTACATTTAAACCACCCTCTAAAGGGTAAACTCAGCGACCACACAAGGAATAATATAAGTGCTATTACTTTAAAATCACCAAAATTACTCAATTTGACAATGTCACAAAGGTATCATTTTAAGATTCTCCTTGACAAATATGCAGTCATTTATAGATCCGTCACCGATATGCACATTGTACACTTTTCCCGCTTTTTTACAAAGCTCTTGTGTTCTAGTCTGAGTGTTCTGAAGCCTCGAACAATTCTCCATTTCACACACGTTATGCCAAATGTAAAGATTTTATACTTGTTTCTTTGATGCTATAGTTAGATAATTGTTTATCTTGTGCTGTGTGCTCTTCATTCCTGTTCTGTAGAGTTGTGATGCAACACTGACTTTCTTAATCCATATACACTTGATATCGCTCTATACTTCTTAGAGTAGTATAATCTTAGAAACATTTGAATGAAACCATTGTCATCTATAGTAAAAGGTATATGGGAGGATATTCTACTCTCGGATGGATCATCTAAACTATTGGTCCTCCTAATTGTCAATTATTCTGGTGATAATGGGTGTTACGGCCGCTGGCGCTGGGCCGCGTCGTACACCCGCTTCCCTCCCTCCTGTGTTGTGCTGCTGTTCTGCTCAGGCTCCGCCCCGCTGCATGGTGCACCGGCTACGCACGCTGCCTCCCAGTTCTGCCTTCCGTTCGGAGATTGGGTCGCGCTTTCCACGTCTGGCCAATCCATCGCTGCGGCTAATCAGCACCAGCCTTGAAAACGAGTCTGCTCCTTCTGTGCGGGGCGGCTTGAATCAGTGTCTTGTCTGCCACCGTTCTGAGAGAACGTGTTGTCTGTGTGCGCTAAAGATTAAGCTTAAGGTTGCCTGTGTGGCTCTGTGCTTGTGTTTATTTGAGAACCCTGTGTTTTTGTGTGTTTTATTTGACTCTGACGCTGTCCAGTACAAACTGTTACCCCTTTTGCCTGTTTTATTAAAAGGCCATCTAATTTACCATTATTACATCCTTGGTTTTATGTTACTTCCCTCTTCCCCTACGAGCTCAACTGTAGGGTCGTAACATATTTGGGGGCTCGTCCGGGATATACACGTTCCCGGCATTAGGTGGCCGAATCAAAATTTATTAGGTAAGTGGGGGGGTAAGCTGTATTGTATTTGGACATTGGGAGAATGGCAACCGCTTTCAATTTACAGGCATTCTTGCTTCATCCCTCGGCCGAAGCACTTGAGCTCTGTAAAAAGAAGGATCTATTTGAGGTTGCCGATCATTTTGAGATTTTGTATTCCCGTCAGAGCAGCAAGGCCGAACTCAAGGTGCTGCTCCTGGATGGTTTGGTGGAGAGGGGCTTGCGTTTGATCCCAGAGGCTGAGAGGTCTGATGAGAGCATCGTGCATGCGACTACCCCGAGACGTACGGAGACGCCTGCGGATGGCCCTCCCAGAGCGGAGCGTGAGTTTGTAGAGGGCGATGCGCGGCCTGAACCACCGCGCACTCCTCCTCGCTACGGGCCGCCCTCCCCAGCTCCTTCCTCTCCCGGCTCAGTTGGTGGTGCTTGGCGCGCTTCGCGGCTGGCACGCATCAAGAGTGAGGCCGAGCAGAAGGATCGGGACCGCAGTGCCGAGCTCGAACTGCATATACGGAGGCTTGAGATCGAGGCTGACAAAGCTGTGCGCCTCAGACGCCTTGAGCTGGAGGCCGAAGGCCGCCTCCCCAGTCCTACTCAACGCCCGGGCGTCGCTGCACCTGCCACAGCCCTCTCCCCAGCTGTTCATGACTCTCTTGACGTGAGTAAAATGATACAAATTGTGCCTACATTTAGGGAGAGTGAGGTTGATTCGTATTTTTCTGCTTTTGAGAGAATCGCGATGGCGTTAAATTGGCCTCGTGAAGTTTGGCCTATCCTTGTGCAGTGTAAAGTGTACGGTAAAGCACAAGAGATAATCGCTGCGATGCCTCTTGCTGAGAGCCTGCATTATGATGCAGTCAAGAGAGCAGTCTTACGCACGTATGAATTAGTGCCTGAGGCCTACAGACAGTCTTTTAGAAGTCTCAGTAAAGCCCCGAGTCAAACGTGTGTTGAGTTCGCACGGGAAAAAGGAAATCTGTTTGACAAATGGTGTGCCTCTGCGAAGGCCCAAGATTGCGATTCTTTGCGTGAATTAATGTTGTTAGAAGACTTTAAGAACAACCTGCCTGCGCGTGTGGTTGTGTATTTGAATGAGCAAAAGGTTAAAACTATTTCTGAGGCTTCTGTGTTAGCAGATGAGTTTGTGTTGACTCATAAGAACTTTTCGTCATCTTCTGTTAATGAGACGCGTGTGTCTGTGCAGCCTGATCGTCCACGCTCTCCTGGAACCTCCACAAGGGACAGTCTGCTTCTACTGCCGCGAGCCCGGACACGTAATCGCAGACTGCCCTACTCTCAGACAAAAGGAGGAGTGTTCAGCTCCAAACGTTCAGAGCATTGGGTTAATTCAATCTGTAAGTCATAAGTCAGGACCCAATACTGTCCAAAACCACGGCTCCTGTTTTGAGCCTTTCATATCACAGGGCCTAGTATCACTGAATGGCGAAGGACCAGATCAACGTCCCATCCGTATCCTACGAGACACTGGCGGTTCCCAGAGCTTGATTTTGGCCAGTGCTCTCCCGTTTTCATACCGCTCTTACTGTGGTTACAGGAGTGTGTTACGGGGAGTTGAGATGGGCTACCGCCCGCGGCCCGTTCACTTTGTTCATGTCCAGTCAAACCTCGTTACAGGAAAGTTTCCGTTAGCTGTGGTCCCTGCGCTACCCATTGAAAATGTAGACATGATTTTATGTAATGATTTGGCAGGGGGCATGGTGTTTCCTCCCCTGTTGGATGCGGTTCTGTCCCCGCTTGTGTGTGCCTCTGATCGTCAGATGCCCACGGGTTGTGCTGTGGCGCACACCCGTCCTCCAGAACAGTGCGGTTGTAGACTGCCCGCCACTCAAGTGAAACCACGGGTACCGCCGCACTTTACTCCACCCGCCACTTCTGTACGGAAGCACAAGGCTAAGGCCACCAGGCTTCGGTCAGGCGAGCGGCACTGTCAGCACCATGGAGAGCGTTTTGGCTCTCGCTCTGCAAGTTTCAGTTCGCGGCCTTGATCTGTGTGTTCCTTTGAGGGATTCGCCACGAGAGAGGCAAAGTCTGTGATTCTGTGTTCGGGTGAGTAATTCACAAATTTGCTCTGATTTTACTTTGATGAGATGGCTTGTATTTTAAGGGGGGGAGTGTTACGGCCGCTGGCGCTGGGCCGCGTCGTACACCCGCTTCCCTCCCTCCTGTGTTGTGCTGCTGTTCTGCTCAGGCTCCGCCCCGCTGCATGGTGCACCGGCTACGCACGCTGCCTCCCAGTTCTGCCTTCCGTTCGGAGATTGGGTCGCGCTTTCCACGTCTGGCCAATCCATCGCTGCGGCTAATCAGCACCAGCCTTGAAAACGAGTCTGCTCCTTCTGTGCGGGGCGGCTTGAATCAGTGTCTTGTCTGCCACCGTTCTGAGAGAACGTGTTGTCTGTGTGCGCTAAAGATTAAGCTTAAGGTTGCCTGTGTGGCTCTGTGCTTGTGTTTATTTGAGAACCCTGTGTTTTTGTGTGTTTTATTTGACTCTGACGCTGTCCAGTACAAACTGTTACCCCTTTTGCCTGTTTTATTAAAAGGCCATCTAATTTACCATTATTACATCCTTGGTTTTATGTTACTTCCCTCTTCCCCTACGAGCTCAACTGTAGGGTCGTAACAATGGGAGACACATTTTAATAGCCGTTCACTCAGAAGAGGGCGGTTCCTTCCTAAAATTCGGGAAAACCCTCCTATATACCTTTAATTCTATGTTTAATGTCTCGATTGAAGAAGTCTCTAATTTGTAAAAATTTAAAGTGTTGATTGTGTGATGTGTGATTTGTTTCCAATTTGCAATAGGCATGTGCACAAAAGTTGGGCATGCCCAAATGTTTTTGCATATTCAAAAATACATTTCGCATCACATGCTTGTGTGATGCATCATTTTAAAGCAAGACCCTCAAGTTAATGCAAATATACACTAGAGCAGTGTCTCCCAAAGTGGGGTCCGCGGCCCCCTGGTGGGCCGCGAGGGTACTGCAGGGGGGCCGCGGGAGGTCATAAAAAAAATATAATTATTTAATGTTAAATTTATAATGTTTTGTTTGTAATATTAAAATATTTGTGTTCATTATTTGACTTGAATAATCCTCTGTAATCATTTTTGTATTACAATGTTTGTAGCAAAGGCTATTTCCCCAAAATAAAATAACCAGAAGAGCCTATTCTTAATGTTGTCTTCTTGGATATTATTTTGGGGGGCCACGCAGACCCGTCAGATTTTTAAGGGGGCCTCGGTGTTACTGAGTTTGGGAATGGCTGCACTAGAGTTATGTCTGTCATTCCTATTTCACTCGGCATCCTTTGAAGTTTGGGGAAAAAAACTTTTTAGCCTCATCTAAAATATTGAATTTATAAAAGTCCTAACAAAGGCTTACTTCATTGTAAGTTTAAAATATTCAAACCCTATAGTCATTTTTAGTCTGCAACAACTGTCTAAAGTTTCAGACCTCTAGGTTTTATAGTTTTGATGCAGTTGCCCTTTTACATAAACTAGTGCCATTCGGTTTTATTAGGCACTTTGTGCCTACAACTCAGACACACAACTCCAAAAGGTAAGAAATGCAATGAGAATTCTTTGTTTTTGTACCCATATTATGCTTTCTATCTTTTTAGTGTAAAGTATGGTTTTGCTTGCACTTGTATATTAATGTAGATGAGGATATAAGCTTGAAAATTAAATACAGCATGGGGGGTTTGAAGACCATAATCCAATGTTTGTATGTCAAGTCCAAACTATTAGGTGTAAAGGCCTTTATATAAGCTGCTCCTTGGAGCACAGGGAGATCTCATTAGAGTTTAATGGCATCACTTGAAATGTTCCTTCCTTGGAGTTTTTCTATGTCTTTCCAATTCAATTCCTAGTTTATATCACACCGATTTAATACTGGTCCTATTTGTGCAGAATTATAATCTTTAAAAGGCATAAGCATTTCTTAAATACATATTGCACTTAGACATACCCTTCAGTGTCGGCATACGATGTGTGAGTTCTATTTCTTTTCCACTGGCGTCTACAGTTCTTCCCTTGTCATCCAGAATAAGAGGGGTGGGCTTGTTCATCTCCTTCACCTCAACTTTGCTGCAAAAGGAAGAAACAGTTATACAGGGTCCATGTTACAATAATCTCAAGATTAATTTAATATATCAGGGGTTGCAATCAGCAAATATTTTGTCTAAATTAAGTATCTTTAGCCTATCTTTAAGTGAAATAGCAGTATATTATACCATTTTAGTTAAATTAAAACATGTTGTGCTTGTTCTATCATTTTTGCAGTAAATTCATTCCTGCAGAAGTTTTGACCACTGCATTTCTGAAATGTGTTGCTATCATGGCTGAGCAAATTTGGTTAATGTGGCCAACAAAACCCTAAAATAACTGAGCATTGTGGGCCAATTAAAGTACTTACGGTGGTGCTATGCCCATAGCATGAAGGTTGGCCAGTGCCACAAAATGATTGTTGGGTGATGGGTTTGCCAAAGCCCCGAGAATACCAGGTTTTGATGAGAGCTGGGACTGGATACGAGCTTGTAGTTCTGCAGCTTTGCGAGCCTTTTCAATTGCATCATTCATAAAACTGGCAGCTTGTGATGGACCAATGGATGCGGCTCCAGCACCAAGTCGAGAATCTGATGACAGGCGCTTTTGATAACAAATGATAAAAATGCATCAATATTGATTAATGAATATACAAGCAAGGTATACACAACTAACTTACTGATGTAGGAGTGGTAAAAGAAAGCTGTTTCTTGCGTTCTTCAATCTGTTTTGTGGCTGCCTCCATCATTTGTTTGATCTATTAGCCAAATGATCCAGTCAAAAAAATAATATACATCCATTAAATATTTATCTTTTTTTATTATTATACCTGTATTTTGGAGAGCATGCTAGCACTCTCTGTGGATGCTGCAGACATAAATTCTGGTTCTTCGACTTCTTGAAAACGTGGAACTCTTTTGCGCTTTACCACAGCCTCTCCTTTGTCCTCTCTTAACAACCCAGTTTCAGTCTCATCAGAAAAGACGTCCTGATAAAACGTAAAATGAGAAATTTCAGTGAGTGAAGACAATGATAAGGTATGTTGGTTATTCATGCTAACTATTCATATTCTATATATATATATATTTTTTTTAAATCAATGATATATATATATATATATTTTTTTTAATTACCTTTATTTCCCTCTTTCTGCCCTTTTCTGATCCACCTTTTCCACCTCGAGAAGTACGACTCTCCTCCACAGCTTCAAACAACCGATCGACAAATCCTCCAGCAGAGTCTTCAAGGAAAGGACGCAACTGGTCTGAAGGAGAAGGGGGAAAAAAGTGTTCAAGTAATCTCTATGAAGAAGTTCTCCAGGGGCCTCAATTTAGATTGTGAATGCAGAACAAATCATATATTCAGTGACCTTCCAGGATCTAAAGGACTATTCAAATATCAAAATCGTTCGTTGTTTGGTAATATTGATAGTTGCAGTTAATGAAGTCAATATCTTGTAGACATACCCAACAAATGTTGGTATTTTCTTGAATCACTCGATACAGCTTCTTTGACCTGATGCATACAGAGTTGAACAATGAGACTGGCCCTGGTTCAGAGCTTCTCCAAGTGGGGACGAGTCAAGCAGAGCATGCTGCAGTCACAGCGAGGGACAGAACAGCTGATCGAGTAAACCGCTACCATGTATCGCTCCAACTGAATGGCAATATTTAAAACGAGACTTTCTGGATTTACTCTTAAATATATTTGACTTAGATGAATTGGACACTGATGTTTGCAGGGAACAGGAGTAACATCATTCTCCAGTTCCCAAAAAGGTGAGTACATGAGTATGGTGGCCTTGTCCCATTTTCCTGTTTGATTCACAAGCATCCAAAGTTTATCTGTGAGTGTGGACTGTCAAGGCCTAAATAACAGTTCCCTTTTTGCTTATTGTCAAAATAAAAAAGCATATACAAATTCATCAAAATTGTGACTTTTGTATCTACAAATGGATCTAATCGTGATTTCAGTGTACCGTTGCAGCCTTAGAATCTAGTTTCAATACAAGCTATTGCTTTTATACAATATTTTTGTCAACCCTAATACAGCAGGCTATGATCTGAAAGTTGTGCGTTCGGATTTTGAAGGCTTGAGTAACAACCAAATCAAGTGCAAGGCTGATGAAGGCGGTCACCCTTGCCTGCTGGCATCCATGCTGCATGATCAAAACAATGAAACAAGTGGATGGCCATGTGTCAGCAGCGCGTCAGAGTCATAGTGGTCCTTTGAAACTCGGCAACACCACTGATACCCAGTTTGTGATATAGGCAGTGTAGAACATAGTGTATCAATTACCTGTGGTCTTCCTTTTATCGAGTCCTTTCCCCACGCAGTGCAGAGCCGCAGTGACCACCGTCGGTTCCGAGAAGCCCAAAACCTTCTTCACTGTTCGCTCTACCCACGGCCTCAACTCCTCCACCTCCCGCTTAGGAAGAGACATTGTAATGCGCTCTGCAAAGGAAAAGCCGAAACTTAAAATAATGTTAGCTCAGGCCCTCGCTGAGCAGTGACAGGGCTGGCTCGTAGCAATAACCAACGCCAAATCCCATTTAATAACATGTATCGTTCGTGAAAATGTATATATCCTCACTTATGTTGGCAGAGAATGGAATTAGTAGATGACATTATAGTAGTTGAGCTGAGTCGCATGAATGACAGTGGGAAACGCACTCAAGCAAAAGACTACAGCAGCGGTGCTAACAAGTGCTAGCATCGACCCCGTGCCCGCTAGCTGCACTAAGTTACAAATACCTCAGAAGGCACAAGGCATAGACAAACCTTATGGATCTATGGTGTGCTTTATGTATGATAGGCGAAGAGTAGGTTTAGGATGAAACTGACTCACCTAAAAGCAGTTAGACATAAAATACATGTGTTTTCTAGATAAAAGTTAGTCCGCGCCGTTCACGCGACGTTTATTATTGTGAACCCGGAAGTGGAAGTTTTTACTTCTGGTTTGAAAAGTCAACCTCTGTTTCCCTCTAGAGGAAGATAAAGCGACTGCAACAACGGGATCACAATAGTTTGACACAACTTTTCACATTTCAATCCATTTAACCTCAATTTATACAGCTCATACTGTGGTGAGTCATTTTTTCTCAGCACATGGAACATTTAGTTAAGCTAAAACGATTATATTTCCAAAATATATCTGTTATACGCTAATCATAACTAGCGTTCATTCTAAATAATATGATATAATCCAAGTGACTAGTTCTGCGCTCTCAAAACAGTTTATCGGTTCTATTAATTGTTTTCACATATTTTTGGCCTCTGTCACATCATTTATCAGCATTTTACCCAAAGCGTCAAATATTGTTTCGTAAGGATCTTTCTTACGAGTATGCAAATAATAACATGTTTTCTAATAAGATGAAGACAGCATGTTGTGGTCTGATTAGCAGAATGACTAATCTAATTTACATGGAAAACTGCATGGGCTCGTCCGAGACTTTCCTGGTCACCTAGACTGGTGAGAACCAATAATGCTGACACGTTGTTTGGGCGGCACGGTGGCTGAGTGGATAGCACTCTCGCCTCTCAGCAAGAAGGTACTGGGTTCGAATCCCGGCCGGACCAGGGCCTTTCTGAGTGGAGTTTGCATGGTCTCCCCGTGTCTGCGTAGGTTTCCTCCGGGTACTCCGGTTTCCCCTACCACTAAAAATATGTACAATAGTTCTGGCATGCGCCTCCTGTTCGACGACCCCGCTCCCATCTCTGTGTAGAGTGAGAGACAAATGCCCAAAAAATAACAATTGTAAACCGCTTTGTGGCTCTGGTCTGTGAAAGGCGGTATATAAATAAAGCTTACTTACTTACTTGTTAAAGAGAAACTATTGTTAATCGTTAAGATACTTTTTTTTTCTGTTACAGACATGTTATGAAAGTGTAGCTTGGGGCCATCCTGGTTCCTATGCCTTGGGCTCACGGACACGACTGCTTCTCTGCCCCATGACCTCTTGGAAAACAGAACAAAAATAGTTTTTATTTCTATGTATTCACATTTCAATTTCAGGCCTGGAATATTTAATTTACTGTTCTTGAGTTTTGTGTATTCTCGTGTAGTTTTCATTTTGATCAGTTCCCTCACTTTTTTCTGGCTGCTTGATGTGGGTCAGAGACGTAGATTCATGGTAGCGGAAGCATGAATGCATGAGTGCCCGGGGCCGCAGTGCCTCCAACAAATGAAGTCTGCAGTGGTTTGTTACATACACTTAATCAAAATCCCAAATGCCATTATTGCAGTTGTCCAATCACAAAACACCAGTTTTATATATGATATATAAAAAAATGGGTTATTTATAATAATAATAATAATTTAAAGCCATATTAGCCACTGGATAAAATAGTGCTATTTTTATATTAGTTTAAATTGTCCTGACACATTAGATATACAGTAGAATTAGTTACTAAGAAGAAATTATTATTATAAGGGTATGATGTGATTACCATCCAGGAGGAAAAGTGATCACTGGTGTTGTTTTTCTGTTTGCCTGTGAGTAACACTGCCTCCAGGCGGAGGTCTGCGTTCTACGAGTTATCTCGTTGTTCTGTATTGATATTTTGAGTATGTTTTTTTGATACTAGATGTTATTTTCTAACATTTACAGACTTTCACTTTACACTTTTGTACAAATGTACAAGACTTTTCTAGTATTTATTTTGGTCAAAATGGTACTGTAGGTTTTAAGGATAGATCATACTCATAACTCATAATTTTATTTTTCATGTTGCCTTTATTCTAAACCTGATTTATTATTTCTATCAACTCGCTTCAGACACAGAGAAACAAAATATAAAAAAGGAACAATCATAGTGTTCCAAAAATAAGGGTATGAATGTTACTCCATGAGCATGCACCACTTTGTTTATATAATATAATAGAAATATAATATTGCTTATGAAATTGCTTTGGTTACTGAAATCTGTAAGAATTTTCACTTTCACACAACCAGATACTGTTACTGTATAAATGTGCTGTTCGCCACCCACCCCCTTCTCCAGCCAGCGAACTATTATGTAATACCATCCGTGCGCACTGTACATCTGAACATAGGCAATTATTTCAAGTACTAGCTGCAAATATAAAATAATGACTCTCTCAAAAAACAGTGCCGTCATTCACTCTGTGCACTTGCAGATGAAACAGATGCATGTGGTGTGTGGTTTAAGCAATGAAGGACTTTATTATTTTACGAGAATGTAAAGTATTTTGTCTGGGCATTACCCTGTGGTGCTTCTCAAGTGCTTCCATTCTTTTACTTCATTCATAATTCATCACGAGTTGTATAGGCGATAGGCTTGTAAATATTAATCGTTTTTTTGTGCTGTATTTATTACATTTCGGTTTCGGTTACACATTTGATTATTCCCCCCTGATTCAACAGTTATATGTTATATTGCAGTATTTTTTATTATTTTTTTGCTGACCCAATTTTCCCCAATGTTTTCTGACAGGGGCAGTTAATCATGGTGAAGATCTGGACTCTGGAGACTCTGTTGTCTTTACTTCACAGATGAACCTTGTTGTGTGAGACACGTGCTTCACCGCACCACTTCTATTTTCTTACTATATATTTTATATATCTGTTGTATGTAGGTGAATAATGAATTTACCATTAAGAAGGTTAGTACTTTCAGGCAAAATTTACGCTACATTTATTTACATTGTTAACATTTCTCAAGATATGAACATAAATTAGCAAGACATACAGTAGCAAGAAGTAGTGAAGCCAAAGCTGGTTTGGCTTTAATTAACTATTAATGACTATTGTATACTGTGTCAGGGATATAATGATAACACAACAATAGCAAATGCATTAATTGTATATTATTTATTATGACATGAGATAAACAGAGTGATGTCATATAGACTTTCTATTTATCTTTTTTCTATCGCCTTTAATCCTATAGAATCTATTGAATGACTTCTCGACTGAAGATCATTTTCCCCAGTGGCTAATGCCATTGAGCAAGATATCTGCTTTGAAATACAGCGTTATCATAAAAAAAAAAAAAACGATGTAATGCAATAAACCGTTGTGTGGACACGAATATATGAAATCAAATATGAAATAACACTTGACTCATTGCAATCTGCTGAATGTGGACGATCTCCTTCATCAATGAGCCACAGTCTTGTTCAATCCTTAGCGACTGAACACATCCAGGTCAAAGAAACTGATGGGGATGTTATTTGCTCATAGATCGACGGTGCCCCAAATATCACACACAATGTCAGGAGATACACGTGCGCCCTTGAAAATGGACTATCTCTGCCTTTACCTTGTCCTTCTATGTTACATCATGCAGTTGGGCCATAACACTATAATTTAACATATACCTGTAATCAAGGTGCAGGGCACAAGTGAGTTTGTTGGTGAAATTGACCCTTTAGCATTCAAAACGCAGATGTTTCAACCTGTTTCTTTTTTTAAAGGTTCTAAGTTGCAAGTCCTTGTTCCTTGGACATTCTAATATGGTGTCAACACTTCCATTTCTAAAGTCCTCCTACATTCATTTATTTGACTATTACATGTAGTCAAATACATGAGTGCAGACCATTCATTAAGGTTTATCTTATCTTAACATTTGATATCTGATTTTAGGATTATAGATAAAAACGAGGGTTTTACAACAATTGAGGCAGCAGAGTAGTCATCAGAGACTGCCCTGGGGTTGTGCCACAGACCACATCGACATGGAGCTATAGGTTATAAGGTGTGCAAAAATATCAATGTTCTGTAATATTTTTAAAATGTATGATAAGATAAGATATACTTTATTGATCTCACAAAGGAGAAATTTACATGTCACATCTAGCATGGTTAGAAACACTCAAGATTGTGCAAAAAGAAAGAAATGTGCAAAAATGTTAAATGCAGGATATATTATGTACAATTAAAAAAAAGTGTTGCTTTAAAAAGTGACAATCAGAAACAGTGTCAATAGTAGTGCAGGTTTTTCAGTCTTAATACAGTGACTTAAAGGGACTTGTTGTACAGTCTGACAGCAGTGGGGATAAAGGCCCTGCGGTAGCGCTCCTTCTTACAGTAGTGTTATTGTGAGCTGTTAATCAATACTCTATTTTGATTATTAAGTAAGATCCTAAAGATCACAGTAAGTATCACAGAACAAGAAGGAATGAATAGGTAAGCAAGAAGGTCCTGGGCTCGAATTTCGGTCAGAACAGTGCCTTTCTGACTGGAGTTTGCATGTTCTCCCCATGTCTGCGAAGGTTTCCTCCAGGTGCTCCGGTTTCCCCTACCACTAAAAACATGTATAATAGGTCTGGCATCGCACCTCCTGTACTGGCGACCTCGCTCCCATCTCTGTGTGGAGTGAGTTATTATAGATCCATAGGAGTGAGAGACAAATGCCAAAAAAATAACAGTAAAGCGCTTTGTGACTCTGGTCTGAGAAAGGCGCTACATAAATAAGGATTACTTACTTACTCACTTAGGTGTGATTCGTATAAAGTCTAGTTGATCAAAATATTTCATTTAAAACAAACAGTGAAACATCAGCTGGTCCAGCATAAGGTCCAGTATATTGGAAATATTTAATTATCTTCTGCTCTTAATAATAATGCTCTGGCTTTATGTAGTGATTTTTTTGACACTCAAAGACATTGCATCATCCATTCACTCTTTACTTTTAGGTGGCAAATCTGAACTCTGACCACCGCCATCATTCACACAGACTCATGCAATGTGGAGAAGTGTCTTGCCTAAGCCACAGGTTACTTAGATTAAAGTATACCTCACCTGATGACATGACACTTTGACAAGCAGGTACGGCCACATGAGCTGTTTTGTTTATTGTATTGACTCATGGGACAGAGAGAATGCAGGTGAAGTGTCTTGCCAAAGGACACAATGACAGCGCGTGTTATTACCAAAGGCATGTAGGAAATCTAACTTTCTCATTTCCATTGCAGCAATGCGCCGTTTTAATGAGCTTTGAGGAGGTTTCAAGATCGGTCTGCCCTGGAAACCCCCGAGGACCAATGGGTGAGTAAGAGCTGGAGTAACTGTAGCTAATGTGAGTGTGTGTGGAGGAGTACGGCACCTCACGTGAACAGTGGGAGGGGGAGGGGAATTTTGGAAAAAGTGCACTAAGAAAAATGAATTGATTAATCTGGATCAGTGATTCTCCAACTTTTCACACCAAGTACACCTAAAAACCTATTTTGCTTTAGAGCTGATTTAGATCACATCCAAACCAGGTCTTTAAACAGGACTTCGCAGAGTCAAAATTAGGACTAAAGATTATATTAATTAGGACTACACTATTTCAAAGTTGTTCCAAATTAGAGTTAACCCAAATGTTCACATGTTGCAGTTTGAGAACCACTGAACTAGAGGATCACTATAGATTATTTATTTGTACCTTAGACAAACCAAAATAATGTGTCACCGGCATAATTGTATATTATTGCAATATGGAAACGTGCAATTTCCTTCCGAAATTAAATCTACTCATGAAATAACCAGAAATGTACAGAAGCTTGTCCTCTTTCTCTTTTCTAATATTTTGTTTTGACGTTAAGATACTTTGTGCTGTCAAATCTGAGTAATATTTATTTTGTAACTAAAAGAGAACTCATTCATTGTAACTTTTCAATACATTGGAACAGATTGCAAATAGTCACCATGGAATACTGTCTGCAAATGACTTTAGCAGGAGGACAAGAGCATTAAGATAATTACCGGTGAGCGTGTTTTGGTCTGGTCTGTGCCTGGATAAACACATGTAAAACATTTCACAGATGCAATCAAAGAAAGCACTGGTTTCTTTAAACTATACGATCTACAAACTATGACCAATTGTGGTGATTAACTTGAGTTGAGTCGGTTTCTACTGTCGCTGCTGCATTATTACATAGTGACTGTAAACTGCAGTGTCCTTAACCAAAGTCTGCCCATGTTTCCTCATTTGCCCTCTAAAAATTCTTCTCTCGTCCTTCTGCGTTTTGCCCCTTGTGCGAGCAGAGGAGAAAAGTAGGAGTAATAGTGGCAGGGGGAGATTGAGCAGAAGAACTCCTCTGCTAAAAACTGCATGGATACAAGGGGGGGCCGTGGTGGAACTTGGGAGGCTGGGATGGAGAGAGGGCGGACTGTAGTGACTGTGTCAGTGCCGGGCCCACCGCAAAATCAGCCAGTCAGTGTGTCAGGGAGGGGAGTGGTGCCCGCGTGTGCATCTGTTTATAAGCAGAGCTGCGTGTACGTGCGCCATGCTCATTTCACCCCATCCGAGAAGGAGAGGTCCAAGACACACCCCTCCAAAAATGTCCTCTACGCTGGATTTGTTGCTGGAATACAACACTGTAATATAACTGTAAAGTAAAACAGTAAAATAAATGTGGTTTTCTAATGAAGTAGGGAGGGTAAGATCATATCCAAATGTAACTACTATTAATATCTATACACATATTTTAAAATAGGTTGATCACATTCAAAACATTGACATGGTAGACTTGTTTACCGTATTGGTTGGAGGATCAGCCACCCCCCGCTAGTGCCAGTCTGATTACAGTGGAGTGTCTCTCACACTCACGCCTCACGTCCCCTCCTATTACACACTCTCCAGAACATACATGCTTTAAATCTGCACCCTAGTGAGACACATCTGTTTACCGAGAGCAGCTTTCATTAAACCACCCATACACATGTTGTTCAGGGAAACATATCTTAAATATTCATTTCAGAGAAAGAAAAGTAAACAAGACTTTCATTTCCAAAATGTTTGTTTTATTCAAAGATTAGTTTATGAAAAAAAGTATTCAGTAGAGTGATATATGTAAATATGTGGCATGAGAATGGCAGGTGAACAGTTCTAACAGGATTTAGGAGGCTGAGGGTGGGGGGAATCAGCAGGGGGAGGGTGTGGGACTACAGTCTGGTTTATAATGAAGGCTGTAAAAACAATTTGACCAACTATCTGTTGTCACTGCAGTAGAAAAACATACATAAAAAGACGCAAACAATGAAAAAATAAGTGCAATTGGCTTCCCTGTCATACCACAACCGTATAAAAATGAGATAGGGGTGGAAGAGCCCCCAGAAGTTTATTTTGGGCGGCGTCTGGCAAACAATTTTGCTACTTGTAAAGAGAGAATGATTTAGGACAGTCCCCCACAAGAGATTGTACGCTCCTTACTCCAAACGTGGGCAGCAAAATGGAGTCTGCCAGGAGCATTCGTATATGTATGAACTACTCGTAGCATTTTCAAAATAGTTTTTACTATCAATATATACAATACTTTTGCAAATTACGTAAACCCCTGCTATGCCTGTAAAAAATTGCAACCCAAATAAAAAGAGACTCTCTAATTGAGAAGTGGAATCAGAAGAATAGCAGCAGAGCAGGTGCCAATAGACATCCTCCCTTACAATTGTAAATTATATCACACATTTTCAAGTTTTCAGAAGCACCATCTTCAAGTGCGTTTCATTCTTCTGTTCTGCTGATATTAGTAACATCGGCGGCTTCCACACGGCACATATCAAACACGCCTCTATTGGAACATTAAACAGTTAAGTCTCAAGAAGTGGCCACTGTGGAGAAATTGGGTCGTTTTTGATCGAAAAGTTGAGCTGCATACTGTTGTAAGTGATAGCTTGCTTCTAATGATAAAAAATGACTACATATAGGCGTTTGTAAGTGATTGTATCAGGTATTGTAAAAACATTGACAATCATGTGCAGTATGAATGCACTGGACATATCCTATTTGGTGTAAAGGCACAGTAGTCCAATCATTACTTTTCCTATAATTTTTTACCTCATCCCAGTAAAACGAAAAGAACTTCAACACCATCTCATCACCTAAAGGATGACGGCAAGAATATTTGCAATCACACAGCCAGTGACATTTAGCTGCCTCATAAATAAATACACAGAATAAATAAATGTAGAGTCTGATAAACGCATGAATAAATTAACTGTGGAAATGTTGGTTTGTCTTAAAGTGGTCCTTGTCTTTCTCTTTTTCTCAACTTCACGCTGGATTCTCAAAGCTTTCCATGGGTCTTGTGGGACACACCTTGCTGGTCGAAAAACGTGCTCTCCTTGGTAACCGTTTTCCCGCTGATGTGCAATCCGGGATTACATTCGTGAGTTGATGACATCGATTTTTCCACAGTCTTTTTCGGTGGTTTATACACATGAAAAATACCACTCTCTGTTCTGTTTATGTCATGAGCTAGAGCTACATACTTTTGCAGACGTCTTTGCTACTTCACTTCTTCTTAGTGGCTTGTCTACACTTCAGTAGATTTGTATCTGCTCAATCTTTGTTTGGATGATCACTGGAAATGTCTTGATTATCACAATACGAGCTAAAATGATTTTCGGCTTGTGGATTATGTCCTTTAAATCGTTTCTGACTAGTTTTCTCTTTCATTGTTGTGCGTTTGTTCACGGTTCCAATGCCCACCATCAATTTCTTAAAAACAACCATACAAAATACTTGTTTTAGTGGTATGTTGGCTGTTTTCAATATTCACGTTATAATTCTAAGGCTCAATCTTTTTCCATTTTCCTAAAAGCTTGTACCTGGTGAAGGCATTGTTAAAGGTCTGCTCAGGTCTCTGTCGGAGCAAGAGGTTCTGGGGAGAACGTCTTGACTTGAGACGACTGATTTGACCTTGAAGGGTCATTTTTGTTTTCATTTGATTGTGCAGCACTCGGCTGGCTTTGGCACCTAGCAAGCTTGGTTGTGTTCTTCGAGTTCTTCATGGTTGTTGTGGAGGAAATCGAACTGTCCTGTGTGGCAGGGCTGTTTCTTTTGCGCAAAGAACCGGCTGTAGCAGGGGTTTGGTCGCTGTTTTCTGCCATTGTGGGGGAATTGGACTTGCGAGGGGAAAGAATTGGAGCGACATGGACCCACGTGAGGCTGGACTCCGACCTGTGGCCCTTATACTTGGACGGTTTTCCTCGCTCCTCTGCATTTTCTGCAGCGTGGTCTGTTGATCTGGCTTTCTCTTCTTCAGTGCTGACGCGTGGGGACTTGAGAGGAACAGGGGAAGGTGTCGGAGAGTCGGTACCTGTCCAGCTCAGTCTGCGCTTCTGGAAAACAATGTTGCGTATTCAATTATTATTATATGATATCAACATTGAGTTCGACTTCATAATGCTGGTTCTTTTAATAAGACAAAGAGTGTAGAGAAGCTAGTACCGCTACCATGGCTACCTTTACCATGGCTCACATGGGACTCACTTCTCCAGAGACCACAGCGTGATTTGAGGGGACATGGTGGGACTGACTACATCTGGTAACAATAGCTGATAATCACGTGACACCTGAGTTGCCTGGTGTACAAACTGTGTTATACAAATAAACTTGCCTTGCCTCTGACGAAGGCAGAAGTCTACAGCCAAAACTTGTCAGGTAATTGAGCAGGACTAAATTTGTCTTATAGGAAAAGTCTTAAACATAAAGAAGGCATATTGAAAGTTCTAAATTTAAGATTTCACAGTTATTTAGTTAGTTCTGAAAATAATTGTAACACTATACTTTGAAATGACCTACAGTTGGAGTAAGAGTGTTGTGTTCACCTTAACAGGAATATGTGACTGGTCCTTGTGCTTGTGGGATGGTGTGAAGCCGGCGGTGTCCTGCAGGGAGAGTGCAGGAGATGTCGCTACACTGGAGGCCACTGAGACGGGAAACGTTGCTATCTGAGGAAACCAGAGCTTCAGCATCACCTCCACCTGAAGCAGTGTGTTCAGGTACTTCTCTCTATGGACAAGGGCAAAAGGAGAAGGACATTATGTGATGTGAAAGGTAAAATCTACACATTATGTAGCCAATAGCCATGTGGCATTATTTATGTGCTTTATGTGGGATCATAGACTGTAGATTATTATATAGATGGACAACGCTAATACCCAAGATCAATGAAGCCCAATGTGGAGATGCTCATGGATGAAGTTACTCTGGCTCAAATTGACTTATACTAAAAAGTAAACTCCCATAGTTCAGTAAAAGTTTTGTCACACTCACCATTTTGGAGTAAAAAATTATCTGCGCTCTCTGTGATCCCATATTGATCTATTCAGTACATCTCTGGATATATTTGTGTTATGTGGACAAACTTTACTTTTTATGTCGGGCAAATTTGTGGCCAAATACATGAACTGAACTTTTTTTTTTTTTTTATACATTGCTTGCATCGTGAACCCAATATTCCAACCTGTTTTATTGCTGATATTATGTCAGAGAAAAACTCATCGTTCACAAAAGTAAAGAATAGAAAGACAGTTTCTTACCCACAGTTTGGTCTCTGCAAAACTCCCACAATCCTCTGTATTCGATCCATGGCAACGCTCTGCTGAAAAGTACTCAGACCTGTCAATCAAAAGACAATGCCTCAGTCAGCTCAGACCCCGTACAGCTGATAGCAAGTCTAAACCTGCTCTCTCTCTTTCTCTCTCTCACACTTATTTTCACTTCTGATTTCATCATCTCACGAGACTTCATGTGCGTACTGCTACTGCACTTTCCACCATGTCAACACACTAAGCACTGATACAGCCGACTGCACAAGGAGAGCTCCTCAGATCATGTGACCCTGCATGTACTCATACTAAGCAATCTGACACCAACCAAAAGATGCTTACCGCGGTCGAATCGGCCCTTCTTCAGCCCATTCAGCAACTCCAGCAGAGGCCTGACGAATCCCTGCAGCTCTGCGCACTGTGAAACATGACAGATAAAGTGCAAGTGAGCTGAAGTTTGGTATTAATCATTGTAGCGTCTTCTTACTTTCTGTGCAAATATCAGATCTCCCTGAGTCTTTGGGGTCTGTCTTGTAGGTTCACTTGCCCCCTCCGTGCTGATTTTTGATGTTTTGCTGGTACTTTCTGACTTGTACCCCTCCTCCTCCTCCTCTTTATCAGTGAAGTCATCGCACGTCCACTGTGAGCCAGGGCTCCCCGCTGCTCTGACTCCATCGGGCATCGCACCAGCCACCCCACCAATGATGACCGAGGAGGAGGTGTCTGTGAGGAAAACATCCGAATCGTCCTCCGCATGCTCCGAGTCACTGAACAGGAGGCTGTCATTGGAGCTGAAGGAGTCGAAGGAGGGCTGGGAGGACGTGCTGCCCTGGGTCTGCATAACTGTGGAGCAGAGAAAACAAACATTCTTTTTAAAAACATGAAAGTCAGGATCCATTTTGATAGATTTTTGTTTCTATTCTATGTTGGAGCATTTCACTTTGGCATTGAATGAGCCAATTACTCAAAATGTAAGGCAGACACGTGCCCTACTTTAACATGGTACATAGTGAGACTGGGGGTAGGCACTGGCACTAGACTAGGCACACAATACTAGCCTATGTCTGGCTCCCATTGAGGAGATTGGAGACAGGAAAGGAGCAGTGAACGTGAGGGGGGGATGGTAGAGTAGTGAAATCTCTCTCTCTCTCTTCCACAGCCTCCGGTGCCTACTCTGGCCCCTCCCCTCTGTCTCGGGCTAGCACTCCATCCCCCATTAGCCTACCATATACACACTCAACTGTCTGTGCTTCAGTATGCGTCTCATCCAGCGCTGATATTCATCTTGTTTGCTTGAACATGGTGCAAGACTCTCTTTCCCTTCACACTATCTTACATTCTTCCATGTCCTGCCTCACACTCACATGCTGTCTCCAAGCCCATGTGCCTGAAGGATAATCTATTTATTCGTACCACCAGAGGCTACAAGATAAGTGTAACAGCACCATATCAACATGGGCACCGAGACAAATTACAGGGGGCACAGTGATACACTATAATTATAGACTCCAACAGAGTATGAGTCAAAGCTGCCTACAACTGGTCATTTCTATTATTTGTTTAGACAAACGCCCGAGCAGAAATATAAAATATGGTGAATTAATGTTATCGCTGTATAATATGTATAATTTGTGGCTTTATAACCACAAAAAGACCTACTCAGACGTGCACGTGCATTATTCTATTGGTGGGCCTGTTCCAATCCAGAAAGGAGCTGGACTTTGGTGGGACAGAGTGACAGCCGGCGCTCGCACGTCCGCACAGATAGCGGCCATGGGTGTCTATAACGTGACATACAGATTCTCTGCAGGCTACATGCTCATACAATGGAAATCAAATAGTTTCTCCAAATTGTCAAAACTATAACATTTTTAATCATTTGCCAACGGTGCGTGCAGCGTAGCAGAGCGGATGTAGTCGAACAGGAAATTTCATTCGCCCAGTCGCAGCCAAATAACTTAACAAATAAGAGGCTAAACTATAGAAAAGACTCACCTATAAACTGTGGTGCTAGAAACGGTGCTTTAGCAAGCCTGTGAGAGATGTTCCATTAGTACAGCGTCCGGAGCTGGGGCAGCATCTGAGCGCACAGCCTGGGCGGCTGATCGGGGTCTGTGCCTCTCCTGCTCCTCTCGATACAGTTTACGAGCGTCAACATGTGCGCTAGTCCACGTGCCCACGTTTTACTCTCATTCCATTGGCTGCCGGCCCGGTGAAGGTGCAGGCCATTGGTCTATTCACTCAGCCAGTGATTGGTATAGTCCCCAGTGATTGGCGGGCTGTGGAGAGTTGCAGCGTTCTGCCCACTCATGTGTCTCCCGTGTGTTTTAGTGCGGGCTGTGCTTTACAACAGCGCGCTGTAAACACCGAGTGCACGGACCAGCGTGTCCTCTGCACGCCGTGAGCACGTAGAGCGTGTAGAGCCACAACCCTGCCCACTCTACCCAGCACGCAAGGAACAGCGCACTGGCGAGAAACCATAATGCAACTGGGAGACATTCAATTACAATTAGAAATGACACAAACACATAATCCTAAACAGCACTATATTGAGATGCAGCGTGTAAAGTGGTTGGTTTAGGATTACAGTTACTATAGTCCATAGACTAACACAGTAAAATCATTATTTATACACACGGAATAAACAGGAGTGAACTCTTACAAGTACCTGGGTGTTCACCTGAACCACAAACTGGACTGGACAGGAAGAAGCTGGACAAGGTCATCAGGAGGTCCACTCTCTCTGCTCTGGAGAGCAGTTTCAGTGACAGACTGAACCACCGTCGCTATTTGAAGGCGAGGTTCCGCAGGTCTTTCCTTCCTGCTGCTGTAACACTGTACAACAAACTAGGAGGACTAATGAACACTGCCAACCTGACCTCACATGTCATGAATCTATGCAATAATTAGAAAGAATTTTAGAATGGGACCACATGTGTCCACTTTTACTTTACTGTACTTTACTAATTCACATATCTAATGACGTACTATATTCTACTAATATTCTTGTATTAGTGTGTCACAATTTTATCTACAGAATTCTACATACAAGTATATTTATTTGCTCTAGATACTGTATTAAAGTATAGAAATATGCTTAACTGACATTTCCCCCACAGTTGTACAAATAAAGGATCTCTTAATCTTATGACTGGTTTCTCATCACTGTACTGCCAGTAACCAGGGCCTGCAACACTTAATATATCTATAATCTGTCTATTTTCCTGATGCATCATACACGACCTCTCTCAGGAACCCAAGGGCTTGAGATGACTGATCTTGACAACTGCGAATGAGTCACCAATTAACAACAACAACAGAATTACATACAATTAAATCCGTATTGTATATTTCTCAAGCCATGGACCACTTATTGACAATATAATGACACACAATATGCAATTGCAAAACACAGTGAGCTTGTGTACAGCAGAAACTATTTAGGGTCATATAGGTCAACAAACCTCCCCCACTTGTAACTACAGGCTGAACTCACTAACCTTACCATAGACTGCTTTACTATGCAAACCAACTAGTAGGACCACACAAAACTATTGATGAAAATTGCTCTACAGGTAACTGACTTACTTCAAAACATCTGAGGTATTTTTCCATCCGACAATGTTCTTGAAGGTGGATTGCCTCATGGAGTTGAAGGTTTGAGACCACTATATGACAATGAGTTGTTTATCACCACGGTCACGGTGACATCACAAGGTTTTAAGCACAAACACAAATATATGGCTATGGCTGTATGTGAAAACTGTCAAGATAAATAAAATTATCTATCAAGTAAGATCATTGATGCGTTCACACTTCCGCCCTCAATGGATAAAATAAATAGGATCTAAAATTGAACTAAATCCATAACTAAATATCTACTTGACCACAGTGAGGCATAAACCAAGGTTAGAATAAATAAGTCTATCGATGACAGCAGATGGGATAAGATTAGAAAGATATTTTTCTCTTAACCCTATATCTCCACATATATGAGAGCGTTTTTTCCAGCACTACCCTTCCCCCATCCATACATTGAACCTATAGTAAACACAAACCCAATGACCCCTCAGCTCCTCTTGCACAAGACTTGTTTTTGTTTTATTCATGTCATCTGCCTTGACAATTCAACTATGCTCTTAGTAACCTCCACTCAGGTGAAAGGTCTCTCACAAGAGCAAGATTATGGCGTTTAGGCTTCCAACCCCCACTAGCATTCCTGTGCAGCCTATGAACTCGATGAACCTTCCCTGGGTTCACAGAGGATGAAGACTACCCCCATCCTCATCCTCATCTGTTGACACATCCCCCACTGCCTGAGAGCTTGTTTCTCCTTCCTCCTTTGGCTGCTGTCTATTCAAGGCTTTAAATATTGTGTGACTGATCAGGTTGATCTGCTACAATGGCTGGATTGTTCATATATGTGGCTAAAGATACAATGCTACGCTGTATACATGTCTTAAAATAATCAAAACAAATATTTTTTATTGGTTTACATTTCTGCTGCTGCTAAATTTTCCCTTTGAAGAATCTAAATATTATATGGACAATCAATCCTTCCTCTGATCAGACATAAATGCAATATTGGAACTAAACATGCGTTAAACAATAATACACCTTGTTGGGTTAAGATTTTTCCTGTGAACTGGTCTGGTCCAGATTTAGTTAGTTACTGCCTGACTAGTCTAATTGCTCACGTGCTATGCCAGCATACCATAAAAGGAGCAAAAACAGGACCAAATCAAGACTTCCCCTAGTCTCACCAGGATCAAGTTTCGACACTTGAACAAACAGGGCTGAGGGTGCGTCAGCTTATACTTTGAAAATGGTCAATAAGAACATGAGGACGGATGCATTTTCTTCTGAAGTGAATGAAGTGGGCTCAATAAGTGTAAACACGCACTGCTCTAGATTACAGTGAATTCTTTCAAACCAGCAACTTCAAAATGTTGAATATCTATACTGGAATTCTATAGTACTTGTGAAAATATGCAGAGGTTCCATGAGGCCGAAAGTCTGAACAGGTGTGTTGAGACCAGAGGCATAATAACAGAAACTTGATCTTCCTGAGGCATGAGACTGGACGTTAGACAACTAAACAGTTTACAGACCCTCTGCAGCCCAGGCTCACATTTCAGGAATAGGGAAACAATTACTTCCATGTCCTCAATGCACTCACCAAGCAGCCTCTTTGGATCTACTCTAATAATATTGCTACATGTTTGCGATCTTTGACATTGTTTATTTGGTTTTCCATGGTACATGCGGTCATACACCAACCAAAAACTAGAATTATGCCCTCTACGCTGCAGCCACTATTCCTGTTTCCGATATGTGAATGTAATTATTATTTATAGAGTTTATGGGATGGGTTCATGCATATTTTATTGCATTTTACATCATTTCTTGGCAGTGTTTGATGCTGTAATGTTTCCGTCCATGACAAATGAATAAAAGTGGTTGAATGAGAATAGCATTGCTTTTTGAATTACCCATTGCAATATTTAAATTCCTGAGACAACCATTAGTGAGTTTGTCATGGCCCTTGTCCTTTCTGCCAAAATTGAACATTTAAATCATTGTTTTCTAATAAATTGGGACTGCAGGTTCAATCACGTGCCGGTATGAAGAATACTATCCCATCCTCGCTTCATCTTTCAGCCACACCCATGTCTGCGTATTTGACATTCAATAGCTGCTTCATACATCATCACACATACAGATTACATAATGTCTGAGATAGAGACATGGAAGCTCCTTGCGCACTGAAATGCCAACGCGGCTTTTATATTTCTACAAGCTATCCACTGTATTATATTATTCTCATTATTATCTCTATTCACATTCCGTTACTCTGTTTTAAAGCAAATGTACTGCGTAAAGGATGGACTGCCCCCGTGTCCAGACTCCAGATCCTCACATTCTCGGAGAAAAGCCATGTGCCCCCCGCCTTTGCATCTGCATCTTCACATGTTTTTCGATATGGCTTGGGTAGGAGATTTTCTGAATGAAATCAAAAGCCATCCCCACTGTGAGTACGGGACCTATAGCGTTCCATTACAACCAAGGCACGCCTTCTCCCCCGTGCGCTCTGCAGCCAATCGGAAAACGCACAGCCTTTACGAGCGTTGCATAATTTCGGATGACACGCTTCACGTTTGAGGGAGCCGGCCATAGGACCGGCACACGCTCTGAAAGGGATGGAGAGGGTTAAAAAAACGGGGGTACGAATGAAACGCCAACTTAATAACAGAAACGTGAGTGGTGACCAAGAAAACGGGCAGATGTGTTAAAGAACAGAACATATAAGGGTCATTAAAACCAGGAAATAACCAAGTGAGCATATATTTCTCATCCATTTGTGGATGAGAAATGTATTCTAATCCCGCAGCCCATTTTTATTGATTTGTCAAACGTGATGCAGTGGATGATGTAACAGCCCTTGAGATTTCTTTTAACATTCAAGTTGAATCTCAACTGGAGAATGTGATGTAACCTCGTGCATAAAAAAACTGTTTTGCGAACCCTCTTTGGCTTCGGTCCAAATAATAGAAATTTGTTACTAGAATCTGTGTTAACAAGTGTGGGGGAACCATGGTTCTATAAGGGGAGAACGGATAAGCCGCTCAACATTAAGACAGGATTAGTTTTGATAATCCACGTGACCACGTGAGTTAAAAAAGAGATCAATGACAGATCAAAAACAACAACATCACAATGTTCTTGTCCATCCCTCTCAAAAACAGCACGTACGCCTTCTTTGTAAAGGGAGCGAATAGTGTGGATAGGGCGCCATCTAGAGTCCCTCTCCTGTATGAACCTTCTACATCAGAACTCAGAATCAGAATTATTTTTACTTTTATAAAAATGAAAAAATAGATCCAAAGCCATACATAAAACATTCTTCATAACATTTCTACTATATATAAGTGCACACTAAGTACACACAATAGGCATAGTAACACAGCTATACCCATGAATCTAACACTATACTATACCACAGTATAGCCAATAGCTCACACTCTGTACTCAAATTATATTGTTAAATACCAATTATTCTGCCAATTTCCTCTCAGAGCTCAACATAGATATTGGGGTTAGATTCGGGTTTGACAAGTATTTGTGGAGATTGTCTGTTATGATGTTAACATTAATAGTATAATGGATATAAGCGTTGTATTATCAATATATGTCAAGACGTGAACATAGCAACAGAAATACACTGAATGAATGTAGAAACTGAATTTACAGCCCAAAATATGGTATAAAACAGTAGATGAATTTTTTTTTCACTGAAATGGAATAACATAATCTTCCAGTTAGACTATAGCTTAAATAATATGCAAATAATTAGCCCTTTATTCATTAAACTACTTTGCCTGCCAATGTAGTATTATCCAGCTTTCCAGCAAGTGAAATCCGTCTCCGTTTTGCCTCTGCACCACTCACGCTGAAAAAGGTCCTGCCTTTTCTAAGCCTATTATATTCGCGGGTCTAAATGAACCATCACTCGCCTGGCTCCGACTGTGAAATGGGGGCAAATGGAACAGTGGACCCCCTCTCCTCTCTCCCTCTCTCCCTCTCATCGGTGTCCATACTCATTTGTGTATGATTGTATGGGGGCACTGGACTAACATGGACTGTTGGCGTCTTTTTATGTTGTTATTTTGTGTATGTTTCAAATGGATAGCTGCTCAAAAAGGTAATGTACTCATCACTCTGTTAATGCTTTGACTCAATAAAGGTTTTGCCAGAAAAGATTTCAAAGATTTGTATCAATGGACATTATTTGTTTTGTTTAACCACCAAATTGAAGTAAATTTTCTTGTTGCACTTGCAGAAGAACTTCGCTGGACCTACACTGGTGAGTCAAAGTTTGTTAATTAATTTAAAGTAGCTTTTGCCCTAATATTTTTTGACTCTTTGCTTGGTTTGCTCAGTTTCCTAGTTTTCTCCTTGTTGTTAGTTGAACCAGCTCAAAATGTAAAATCACAGTTGAAACGCTATATTTCTCATTACAAAGGTTTCTCTACTGTACACGAAGTGAAAAATATCCTAAGAAACTTCACATTGCTCTAACTTGGTTGAGTTTTGTTCTAGTCTCGCGGTTTGAAGTGGACCTGCTGTGTCTTAATTTAGACCTGGTGTAGACCTTCAACCTTTGAGTTTTGACTCCTGTTCAGCAGTACTTTAATTTTTAGTATTTATATTTGGTTTATAGCATGTATATGCGTATACTCCTAGTTTATCCTGGCTCTTTTTTTTGACGTTTGGTTGGTTTTGGTCCTATTTTTAGATGGTTTCAATCTATAGCCCTTGATAAAATTGTATATATATATATTTGAGTTAGTTTTAATCCTGATTGAACCCATTATTACATTAGTCCTGTTAAGACATTTGAATGGAATCTTGCTCTTTTTTTCAAACGGTTTTATTGCTAATTAATCCTGAAATATCACATAGAAGCACAATTAGCATAGATGTGAGTGGAAAGCTTGGGGCAGGTGCAGAGAGCGGGCGATGGGACGGAGAGGGGCTAAAGCATGGCCTCTGCCTGCATTGTGACTGCTGCACAATAACCCATGTGTCAATTGTGTTGTCGCTGTACACTAGCTGCCTATGTCATTGAACAATGGGAATGAATGGGCATTTTTCCCCCTCTTATAGATAGTATACTGTATGGAATAGAGATCATTAGTGAAAACAAAAGAGTATGGACAATGCAAGTTAAAATATAATGTCTTGCTTTGGGTTTGTTCTTTGAGAAATAGTGAATTGGCCAGGAGTTTTCATTTGGTCAGAGCATGGGGGAGTCTTCCAGAGGCCTCTTGTCTTCTCAGAATTAGAGGATTCTCTGAGTTCAAGGTTGTTGATATGAAGTTACGACAATACATGAGGCATAATAGATATTGTATTTTTACTCTTATAATGATTGAACTGCAGGAAATTCTTAAAAAATATTTCTTAAATTTACAGAAGGAATCCAGGATAAACAATATTCAAGTAACCCACTTTCAACAATCTGTCTGAATTTTTAACTATTAGAACCCCTTAATACCTATAAATCTACGCAAAGCATTATAAATGATGACTTGGCCGATTCAACGCAAATATTATAATTAGATGTCAAGAAGTGTGCAGTGATAAATTAAATAAAAACAATAAATGTAACATACGTAAAGGTAATTCATTGAAATCAATGTCGACTAAATACAATACGTATTTATGGGTTTCAAGTTGTGATAATGATTTTACTACACCATAAAATAAAACATTATTTTATGTTCTCATGTCATTATTCTGACATTGTGAATATTTATCCTCTGAAAAGTATATGATCTCTTACTCCAAACAAAAATGCACCTTTTGCTCGTTAAACTGTGTTTTCTTTTCGTATTTGTATGCACTCCCTCTCTTCCTCTCTTACGCACCAAATTAAGTTCTCATTTGGTGTGTAAGAGATAATTATACGTGAAACGCCAAACATCAAAATATTGTAGAAAATATAAAAAATAAAAATAAGAGCTTATTTCTGTGATTCATCTTAAGATGTGAAAGCAATAAATGATAAATATTTTGGTCACTTTTATACCCATTGTTTACAGAGCAGTAATTTTACAGCAGAAACAACGAAAAAGGTGCGGGCTGAAGCTGTACAGCTTATTTTGTCGACCCTTATTGTAGTGAATATATTCAATAGGATTTACATAAGCAACTGATAAACATCCAGATTCTGAGTTCCTGTAGACATCCAAAATTAATATATGTATTTGTATAGGTCGACTAAATCATAGAATTTTATAGTTTGCAGATTTGTTCACAGTGCACGAGTTGGCTCGTTGTGAGCTGATAATGTCATCGCTCTCATTGCCTTTTTTGCAATATAAAATTTGGCTTTGTGTTTGTTTTTAGGTGTTTCCCCATACCTCAATGTTATATAGGGAGTTTTTCCAGTGAGGTTTATACAACGAATAGACTCATTTTATTGAAGATATATCTATATTTATGGATTATGGCTATCACTTGGCAATAGTGAGGATTCTGGCTTACAGTAAATTTTCAAAATATTCTAATCTTCTGAGATATTTTGTTAAGGTTTTTTTACAAGCTGTGAGCCAAATATCATTATTATGTAACAAATACACTTTGCACGTAATGAGTCTCACATTTAGTAGTTTCACTCTGTAAGTTGAATTAATGATGTAAACAGTTGGAAAAGCAAATTGTCTCTAAACCTTTTATTTTAAGCAGCGGTCTGGATTTGTGTGACTTTGCCTTCGAGTTTTAGCCAAATCTATTAAGTATTAATTTTGTGCACCATACAGAGAGAGACCACATTTTTGCCCCCTGTTGCTATAGAGACGACCGGAGGCGGGTGTTGTTTGTGACACTGGTAGTGTGGACCAGAACTGGAGGTTGGAGATTAGAAATGTAGACCCTGTTAACAGGAAAAAACAGTATTTCCAACAAAATCAATAATGCCTTTATCTGTGCGGCATTTATTTAAAGACCTTGATTTTTTTTCCATGTAATAAACTAAATGTGTTTTGCCCAAATGCAGATGTACTGTAAAACTAACTGAGCCCGATGGTCCTGCTGTGCTCCAGTTCGGAAAGTGAACCTTAGTGCAGGGAAGGATTGGGATTTGAGAAAAGAAAGTGAGGAATGAAACAGTTAAAAGCAAATTAAATCAGGCATTGAACATTTTATTATTTGTAACTGACTTCACTTGGCTAAAATATTGAGCAAGGGCAAGCTTTTAGTATTTTTTTGATAATTATGATTTTGGTTGACCTTAAAGCTACAGAAATAAAACAATAAGATATAGAAATACATTTTGAAAAGAGGTTGGAGGGAGTAGATGCTGGAAAGTTAATAATAAGAATCAATTTTATTTCTATTGCACTTTACATTAGAAGGAAACTCTAAAGTGCTAAGTTACATCTTTAACAACAATATGAACTGTGTATTCAGTGAAAGCTGTTTTTATCTAAAGCCCCCACATTCTTGAGTGTAATTCATATTCAGATCCTCAGATTCACTTGTCACTTCCTTTTCATCCTTCATTATGTTCCAGAATGGGGCCCCTGCTCCAAAACTCTTCTGTCATTGTTTTGGCTGTAGAACAGATTCTTGTGCTTGTTTTGTTGGTTTTATTTCTTTAAAGGTGTTTGTGTTGAGTAAATGTATGAATAATCCCCCTTTTAAAGATGTACTGCGTAGTTATATGGTTTTTCTTGAATTTAGCATAAAATGTCAGTGTTTGTATTTTTGGTAATAAAACTATAGAATTCCTGAAGTGCGTTTTAGTTAAATATTATGGTTTTATCCATGGGAAATCTAGGTAAAATGAAACGGTATGAGAAGAAGAAAGTCCTTAAATATAAGCTAATATAGCATGATGTTTGCCGGTGGTGGCGGAAGATGAAGGGTTGAGCCAATGAAATGGAATGTGATGTCCCATTGTTATGGTGGTGATGGGGAGGAGGCGGGTTGCTGTGCGTGCTGAAAGCTTTAGAGGTGAAAGGTAACAGGTGAAGCTGTTCATCAGAGGCACAGTTGTGTAGTAGTAGGAGGGTATACGCTGATGAGATGTAGGATAGTGACCATATTTTGTGCAATATCAGTCCCTCACTATTTATTGATTAAGATTAAGAGATATTTTATTCGTCCCACAGTAGGGAAATTTCAGGTTTGCATCTCTAGTTAGAGAACACAGCACAAGATAAATGAATGATAACTCTATTCTTAAATGAAATAAAATAAAATCTCTAACTCTAGAATAAAAAGAAGCAGAATAAAATATCTATCTTTCGCATAATAAGTAAAGAAGTTTAAAATCTCCCACTTTAGCATGATGAAGAAGCAACAAAAACCCTTGACGTAAGCATAATAAGGAGTATACTATAGCACATTTCTGAAGGATTGTCTTTGCACTAATATAGAAAAATATTGTTGATATATCGGTGACAATGTATATGCTTGATAAAAATATAATTTGTCTCCATGGCTTCTGTCTGACTTGTTTGATATGGCGAACACTGTCTAAATAATGGACTTGTCAAAGCGGCTTGTTATGGAATGACTCTGATCCACTGAGCTGTGTGATTGGTTACATCACTGCAGTTTCTTTTATCCCACGCAGGTTTGGTGGGTCAGTCCGAGTGGTCCGAGCACTTCCCCGATTGTGGAGGGCCTGCTCAGTCTCCTGTCGATGTGGTAACCAGTCAAACCAAATATGATCCCACCCTGACCCCTTTAACCCCGCTAGGCTACAGTCAGCACAACTACCAGCCTTTCACTCTGCACAACAGTGGACATACAGGTAAGTACTGCTGCTGCTAACTGAACTTTATAAGGACTATGGGACAATAGATAGTGATGAAGTGATTCGGTGATGTCATTATTTGGCGCTTTTCATGGGACAACCCAGAATGAATGGCTTCCCGAGACATTAGAAGTTCAAAATGGTCAGGAGAAAGAACACATCTGGAACAGACAAACAACATTATAGACTGACTACAAGAGAGAAAGAGGACAGGGTATTTAGCTGGGATACACAGGTGAAACACAGGAGAGAGGGGGGGAAATAATAGAATAAAACCAACAACCAAAAAAACAGAATCCACACCATGAGACAAAGATAGTGTTAAGTGTATGGGGCAGCATCATTTATGAGGAATACAAAAAGCAGGAAAAGCACAAAGTCTGTAACATCCACCAGTGATGTCATCATGGAGACAACGTTCTCTCAATTAGTACGGATACTAATATAAATATTCTAAAAACCTCTCTCGCCCACATCTCTTCAGTTATGGTGACACTTCCGGAGTGGATGGGTCTGGAGGGGATGCCCTGGCTCTTCAGCGCAGTCCAACTTCACCTCCACTGGGGCAGCGGTGGTCCGAGTCATGGGGGTAGCGAACACACCATCGACGGGTTGGCTGGAGAGGCGGAGGTTTGTCCATTCACACGCACATACATTATTAAGATATAAAAATACCCTGTTAATGGTATATAAATACGTGGCGTATAATAAAACATGGGTTAGACCATCTTGACAACTCAGGTCAAGATACCCATAATGGAATGATTACATGTAATTCTGTTCACTTTAAAGAAATACTAGCTGAAGCAGTATTTCCTGTTACTATTACAGAACTTCTACATTTAAAATGCTTTTAAAGAACAGAAATAATTAAAATGTCCCAAAAATATGTTCTATCAAGCAGTAAAGTCACATGATCTTAGAACTCAAGAGGCTTACTACTCTTTGGGTCTCTGTGTAAGAGACTTGACCTACGCTGCTTCATTGTGGGGCAAGGAGGACATGAAGTGTGAAAGTCTAAAGGAATCACCATTTGACTTGTTCAGTTGTTTCAGAATTGCTGAAACGAGGTGTGGTGGGTAGTGATGGTAGGAAGGCCCCCATTCAAACTTCAGGGCAATCCGTGGTGTTGCATTTTGTATATTTATTGATTTGTATGTTCTAAATGCTTCAAATACATCTGCACAACTGTCCCATTCATAACAAATCACAATCAAATAATCTTCAACAATTCTCTAATTCTCTAATTTCACCTACATTTTCTTTTTCTACATTGTGTTACTGGTAATAACAGTGATCACAGTTGGTTGGAGATTACATAGTTCATCCGCCATGGAAGGAAGTTTCTGAAGCAGAGACTTTTAAGGTGCTAAATCCAGTGACAAAAAGGACCAGCTACTTTTAAGCCGATTAGTGAGGAGAGCAAAGTTCATAAAACATCTGCAACAAAGTGTGAAAGTTAAAGTGTGCATTAATGACACATTTTGATTGCCTCAAAAGAGTTTTGTGATAAGTATAAAAAATGTCCATAAATGTTAATAAACGTGGATTAATGTCGCGGATCATTGTCCTTTCAGCCTCCTGCCTCGGCAATAACCCACAGACGTAGATCCGGGACAGAAACAGACAATGCACTTTTTGGCATCTTATATTTCCTGTTCTCTGTTCTTTCTCCAGCTTCATATCGTCCACTACAACTCAGAGCTTTTCACCAACATCTCTGCAGCGATGAAGCAGAAGAACGGACTGGCGGTTTTAGGGATTCTCATCGAGGTTACAAAGCAGATACCACCACTTTAGGCATTGCTCTATTTAACCAACATTTAACATTTCAGATTTCTTTCAGGCAGGTGATGAGACCAACCCAGGATTCAACAATATAATCCGCTACTTAAGTCGAATCAGGCACGCAGGTACAAACATGTGAATTCTTCTTTTTGTTATTGAGCCCCGATCAAATTCAAAACTATTCCTTCACAATCTTTAAGCCCAAACCAAAACAATCCAAAACCGATTATAAGTGAACATGCATGAAAAACAAAAGTTTTACAATACAAGGAATTCACCCACCATCTCCACCTGTTTTTTGTTTGTTTGTTTACCTCTGTTACTATTTTATCAATACTATGGTAAGAAAAGAATGAGATTATTCTCACGTTTGACTTCTTTGGCAGAGCAGAAAGTTCTCATCCCAGGGTTTGACGTCTCATCGCTGCTTCCCAAAGACCTGGGACGCTACTATCGTTACAACGGCTCTCTGACCACACCGCCTTGCTACCAGGAGGTCATCTGGACTGTGTTTTATGAGAAAGTGAAGATCTCCAAAACACAGGTGAGATACAGTTCAGGTTTTCATGTGCCTTAAGAACGCTGTTATGAACGCCACCAAGAAATACCAAGAAAAAGCCTCACTACAGATTTTGAAAGCACAAAAAAACAAAAACAAAATATTGCACAAATTGCACAAATACAGGTAGCATGTCATTTTAGGTTGAACACATTTAAAGATCTTTCAAAGGCAGAGGACACGTTATCATTTGAAGCTAAGATTCAAGTAGTTTCTGTTATCTTATTTGAACGGCTTCTTTTATTTTCACTGGTCTGTAATGTGCATTTAAAAAATGTCTAAAGTATCTGAAATGTGCTATGTAAAAAGAAATCCTACCTACCTGAGTATACACTCTAAGTATCTGTAGAATACACTCTGCAGCAGTATACTGTATATACTCTAAGTATCTGTAGTACATACTCTGCAGCACACCACACACATGTTTATTCTCAAACTACTTTTCTACTGTTACGTGCTTATTTTCATGAATCTGAACTCTGAATTCTTTATCCGTAATCCAGGATAAACCCATGAACTGGATGTTGTGGCACAAAAATTTGACCTTTTAATACAACCTGCTAATAAACATTGTAATGCAGGTCAAATACAGAACATGGAAGCTATGACCAAAAGTATTTTTCTTCGTGATGTAAGCATCTTTTAGCGCTCCAAGTACTGTGAAAACCACTATGTTATTATGTATTAAAAGATATCATATATCAATGGGGATTCATTTTTCCAAGAAGATTTTATTATGTTGAGTGAAATTTGTTTTGCTTGCTTGAAAACAAGCAGAAACAACACATTTTTGACACAAAAAATACTTGAAATAAAATGATTTAAAGATTGATGATTTTTGCCAGGTTGATGGACATTCATGACGAGGCAGAAAACCATTTCAACATTCAGGTAGACTATAGTGAGGAAACTGGGCAATCAATGCAAAAGAATCTTTAAAGACCAGTTTTTATTTTGGTCGTATGTGAGTTTTTTTAAGAACCATTATCTCAGGTTTCCATTTGTAACACTAGAAAATGACAAGAAAAGAGTATATATATATATATATATATATATATATATATATATATATATATATATATATATATATATATATATATATAACATTTCAGTGGGAATCAGACAAAGTCTGGGATTGTGTCTTTAATTCAGACAGAAGACATGTTTTATTGTTGATGGTAGAGCACGAACAAGAGCACAAACAAGGATGTAAGAAAATGCAAGTGTATTATACAGCATGAAGGAAGGCAGTCCTCCAATCAGCGTTTGCCACAGTGTGCTTGTAGCTTCAACCTTGAGAAAACCAAAACAAGTAGTGGAAAAGTACAGGCTTCTGAACATCGGTAGAATGATGAGTTTAACTTTAACAACAGTTGCTTCAAAGTGTTATGAAATCTCACATATATGTAATACATTTTTAATGTTCGACATTCCCTTTGTTTGTGTGAGGGTCTCTGCAGCTGTTCAAATTGGAGACAATTCTGTATTCGAGTAAATATGAGGAGATGGACCGGATGCTTCTGCAGGACAACTACAGAGCCACACAGCCACTCAACCACAGAGTCATCCTCAAGTCCTTCTCCTCAGGTAAATGTTGTTCTGCTTTATTAAAGGACACCCCTTATGCAAAGCTTTAAACCCATATGATTGGTTTTGAATCATTACTTTACTTCACTCAAATTGATTGTCCATTAAACAGGTCCAGATGCTTCATGACTTACTGTATTACAGAGATCTGAACTGCCTCATGGCTTAATTTGGGATCACTATGGACCTTTTGTGAAAACATTGATCAAAAAAGCAAATGCAGGCCAGTCAAAAGTGGGAATATTGTGGATTATTACTCTGGGTCTTTGCTTTCCAAGAGCATTGACCAGAGAGAGAGAAACCCAAAGGCAGAGCGTGTTAGCCGGCTGATTAGGAAAAGGATTGTGGAAGACCAACAGTAGTCCATTGTTGCCCTGAGAGTTGGACAGGGGGAAAGGGTAGCAGAAGGATACAGTAGAGAGCAGAGTGGTTTTTGAGGAGGAACAAAGGAGAAAGAATTTGTTTAAAGTCCTCATTGTGGAAGGCGAGTGAACCGGAAGACCTGTGATATCAGCAGAGCGGTGGTGTTCAGCCTCACACACACAAAACCTATTAGAGACACAAAACAAATCTTTAATTTGGTGGTTTCTGATCGTCTTCTCATTGTTCTAATGTGATTAAAAATAACAAAATATGAAAACGGGGAAATCCTATTACGGCTGCTTAAGTCCTACTTTAGCTTTTGTTGTGTGCCAAAATAAATTCATATAATATAATGTAAAATATTGTTACAGTATATGGCTTTAATCATGTCTGCATGCTATTATTTGAATTATTTTGTACAAAACATTTGGTCGGGCACAAAAGTTTACATACCCAGGCACACTTCATGTTATGTTGAGCATTTTCAGATATAAATATAAACGTTAAAGTACCATTCAAACCTGTCCTCAAATCAGGCCAAAATCATCATATGCCTATAATCTACATACTGTAGGTAACATTTTTCTCTGTTCTTGTCTTTGGTAGTGTGTAAAAACAGCTTTGTTCTTCTTTTATTGTTCATATTCTCAGAAATTGGCCTCATTAAAACATACATTCCTCCAAGGTACAGTACAGTAGTAAATATGGAGGATATTCCTGCTGCCGTGGGTTTTGTCTTAAGCATGTCTTTATGTCTCTTTCAGATCCAGGGAAAGAGCTGTCTCCAGGTGAGCTCTAAGAAACAGCACAACCTCATGTCTGTTAGTTTCTGCTGTAACATCCCCTGGTCTGTCTGCAGGTGAAGTCACGGCCATTGTGGTGGGTGTGATCTGTGGCTGCGTGGGGCTGGCCGTCATCATTCGCTTCATCACTAAGACCATCCAGTGAGTTTCACAGAAGTTCACTTTTCACCGTCTGTTTCTCCGTCTGTCTCGTCTGACTCTGTCTCCTGTGTCTCCTGTGCCAGATTCTTTACACTTCTTCACCATGAAACTGAGGTGGTGAACTATAAAACTGACCAAAACTATCAGTGACTGACAAATGCCTCATTGTGTAAATCAACCAATAATATTGTATTATTTAACTCAAATACTCTAGATTTTACATCGTCACAAGGTTTTCCTTTCATTAATCACAACTTAAAGGGACTGTATGTAATAATAACTAGTGGTCTGATGAAGTCATTACAATTACACCTTTTGTTGCCAGAATCTTTCTGCCTGTGACATATGTAGCTCCGAAGAACTGATTACTGATGCAATCCACCTGCTGGATTTAAGATACAAAACAGGCAGACTACAGAAGACTACTTATTAGTATACCTGGTTTAATTTAGATATCCATCCATCCATCCATTTTCTTCCCCCTTAATCCATTTCTGGGGTCGGGGGGGTGACAGAGATGCCACCAGTTCACAGAGCCACCAGCCTCTCACTGATCCTCCTGCAGGTGGTGAGTCCACAGAGCTGAGATCTTTCAGTGGGGGGCTTCAGGGCAAAGTGGGGGTTAAGTGTCTTGCCAGGACCACACGACAGGCAGTCATCAGTGGGAGTCCGTGAAGTAGTCTTACGTGGGCTTGAACCCACGACCTTCAGGATCAAAGGCCACGATGCATCTACCAACTGAGCTACTGTCGCCCATTTATCTAATAATCTAATTTAGATATGTGTGGTGCTATTCTTCTTTGTGAAGAGACAAACTGGCAACCCAAATGAGAGCCTCATTCTGCTCATCTGCTCTCTGATTCCCCTTATATCCATTGTATTTTTAATTAACATGATTTGAACATGTGACCTATTATCTGGGGCATGTATGAAATATGTAAAATATTACATGCTGTCCCTTTATCACTACCCCGACCCCACTAAGTGCATATTACAAAACACATGAATAACTTTTATGGACAAGTCACGTATTTTTTTCGTTTTTTTTCTTAAAGACTGTCAAAAGAAAGAAAAGTAAGAAGTCTTTCAATCATTGGTTTAATTTCCCTAATCAGTGATGCGTAATCTCTTTAAAGGTTTTTAATCTAAAATGAAACTTGACCACAGTGAGAATAAAGGGCCCGTGTGTTTGTCAAGCCTTCTGATTGTAATCCATCCTCTTAGTTAGGGATTTTATTTAAAAACAAATGACATTACGACTTGTGAAATTCCACCTTCTGGCCTCTTGACTGTTTTTTTTTTTTACCTGAGCAGTGTTTGTGAGAAAAACAAATAACAGTAATAACAATTCAGATTTTTCTAGTTCCTCTCTTGGTTTGAGCTGCTCTTCTTCTGAGCTTGTGTTCACACTTGCAAACAGATAAACTACAGGTGAACTCAAACCAGGTTTTAACAAGGACAAGAGTGAAAGCCACCTAATAAATATGAATCCAATACTGACCCAATGTTTGTATAATTACAGAAATATGGAAATCACTAACTTTCTATGGTGCACTATGCTTTTCTAGTCTTTTCTCCATGAAGATGTTTTGCAGAGAATGTTTGGATCATATTGAATTTGAAAAAAAACCAAAACGTACTGTATCTGCCACTTGTTACCAATGAATATACAGCACAAAATGCCATAGTGCTGTACATTTGAGGCAAAGGGGAAAGCTCCATAGTGCACCTTTACTGAACACTAACGGATGATTGTAACAGGCTGTCGTTGATTTCTTGCTGATTGGTCACATGTGTTTTGATCCTACCACAGCTCGACCTCTAGCTGGGACCTCCTTCACAGTCAGCGTCCTGCTCCCCCGCCCAGGTCTCTGCAGCAATGACCCCTGTGCACGTTACCAACTGAATCATTTCCCCTCACCTCCTTAATACTAGGTCCTAGCATGCTTGAGTTCTCTTTCCCCTATGTTTGTCTCTGACAATACATAATCCTGTGTTAATCTGGTGACATTTTCAGAATGAGTTGGTTCTTTCAAGAACGGGATGAGCAAAAAAAGCCCATAGCCCATGTCCCACGGGCCACACTACAGCACCAAAATTTAAACCTCTACATTTGCATTCTGGTGCCATACTTGCAAAAGCCAGATCCCATTAGACCTCTGAAAAATTTCTCTTTGAGTGTGCTGAAAAGCGATTTATAAAATCGTTGCATTATTGTTATTATTCTAAAAACACATTGATTGTAAAAAGGAATCTGTCTCTTTGTTTACTCAATATTTGTTCAATTAACCGGTGAAGTGGTCCGAAATTTAGCAATCAGTCGGTTAAACGTATATTTGTTGGATTGATCAAAATAGACAAAAACAGAAATATAGTGCCAGCGTACTATTCAGGGAAGTTACATTATGTGGCGCCACCTGCTTGTTTAGATTAAGATTTAGAGATTCTTAATCCACAATAGACATATATATTAGCATTGAGCATGATACTGTCAGACTTTAGAAGCTAAGCAAGGCAGGGCTTTGTTAGCACTGATGGGAGACCTATGGGAACATTAACTGCAACAGTGGGGTGGATTTCCTTGTGCCCAGTGTTTCCAGTGTGGTGGTAATCAAGAGATAAAGTATATTCTTAGGTGGCACTTAATATGAAAAGTTCTAGAGGCACTTCACATCTTATTTGGTTGGCTGGTGGTTGGCAGATATAGATACAGTACAACCTACGAGTACAACCTGACATATGACCTTTAATACAGGGCTGTAATAGAGCAGCCTACGTCTTGTGAAGTGGCGCCCTCCAGTGTACTTCACAATAAGCTACACCAACACTGACAAATGTGGACTATTACCATGTATTAACTTTGATTATGTTTGATGTTTCAGGCCAAATGATGTTGGAAAATCAAGCAGTAAAAAAACCGATATTGCAGTGAATTCAAGACCAGAGCCAGAGAAAAGAGAAGAGGTTGTGCTATCTCCGAAAGCCGAGCCATAACTGTGAACGCTTCAAACACTGTGTACTGTAGTCTATTTATTAGGGCACATTTCTTTTTTGTGGCACTATTATTGTTTTCGACCTCACTGAGAACAACTTTTACAAAATGTGTCTGTACATACATTTTGAAGATTTCAATTCACACACATTTTGACAAATTCAATTTCCAAATGAAAACTCCTTATAAAATGAATTTGCATTTAAATGCTTATCTAATAATGTGCATGAATGATTGTATTTTAGTTAAAATGGATTTACTGTGCCCCTGCCTTAAACATGAATTCAGGAAAGATATTTGCTTAGCCATAAAGCCTAGGAAGTCACAAGTCCTGGTTGTAAGTAGTTGTGTCCATTTTTGTTGTGTAAGTGCTGTAAATACAATAAACACATGGAAATGATGGTATCGTTTCTAGTTTGTAAGTGTCATTATTATTATTAAATAACTACTTATAGGACTAGTAATACTGCGTGATAACAACAGTGTCTATAACACGTGAACACAAGAAGCTGAAATGGAACATCTGAAACCAACAGATATTTTTGGTGCAAACAATAGTCTCTCTCTCTTTCTCTCTCTCTCCGTCTAACCATCTCCGTTTCCTGGTTTCCTCCAGACTGTGCACCGTAACCGGAAGTGAGAATAGAAGTATCTTGGCGCTGTTGTTTTGACAGAAAAGTCGCACCTGGAGGTTTTCGTTTCTCTTTTTGCACCCATCATTGTTTCAGGTCAGTTATTCTCGACTAACAGCTGTTCCACATCCTCCTGTGCTTTGTGCTTGTGGTCAGCATGTACTGACAGTACCATACTGACGCTTGGGACGCACGCATGTGTCATGTTTACAGAGCGGGTGAGGGCAGTAGGAGGCACATGTGCTAATCAAAGTGCTAACACTGATGACCTGATGATCCTCTTTCTACAGCAGGATCACAGCAGCAGAATGCCTGCTCTGTGGCTGTTTGTGCCTTTGCTCGCCTGTCTCCTGCTGGGGCAGCAGGCGTGTGCCAGGAACGAGGCTCCGTGCCAACTTTCCAAGTGGAACAACGGCTTCCAAACTTTCCTAAAGCGCCACATCCGCGAGGACACGCCCCGCTCCCTGGACCAGAACCAGTGGGAGAAGTATATCCAGAACAACGGCGGCTGTCACAGGCCCACGCAGTCCTTCCTGAGCCCGGACGACCTGGAGCGGGTGAAGGCCGTGTGCTCGGCCCGAGGAGGCAAAGTGTTCAAGGAGAACCTGTGCATCAGCCGAGAGCCCTTCTCCTTCGTCACGGTGCGGAGCGAGCCCGGTACGTGCAGCATCCGCAAAATCACTTCTGAGAGCAAGCACCTGATCCTGGCCTGCGAGGTCCTGGACAACCGCTGTGTGCCGGTGCACTTCGAGGGCAACCCCTCCTTCCACAAGCCCAGTAACAACGACCCGGACTGCGGGGAGAGGCGGGCTGGTGGCCGGGCGGCTGTGTGCAGAGACGGGATGCTGTGGTTAGGAGCGGTCCTTCTCATGCTCCTCTACTGACTTTACTACTGAAGTTTTATCATACATTTTAAACAGATTCGTTATATTTTCACATGCAGGGGAAATCAATGCAAGGCCAATGTCGACAACTGTTCAGGCCCATTTTGTAAAAGGTTTTTTTTTCTTCTTTAAACTTGAACACAATGGACGTGACTTAAATTGAAACAAATAATAATAGTATTTGGTTTTGAAGAATACGTTTTACTTGTACTAGAGACACCAAAGAGCAACTGCCTTTTATTAAATTGGATGAAACTAAATATATTATATATTTAAATATATACATTCAAGTTGAATGTATATATTTAAATATATAATATATTTAGTTGAATGATTCAACCACACCTTTTCCTGGCCTTGTTAAATTATGGTTTTCTAGCATTTTGCTGCCAAAGCTAGAAATTTCAGGAAATTGAGATTCAAATCTTTACTTGATCATTTTGGGCCAAGTTACTCATGTATTGTATGCATATATGATAATCGGTTAATTGTAATATTTTTGTATTACAATAAAATGTACTGTCTATAGCAGTGTCTCCCAAAGTGGGGTCCGCGGCCCCCTGGTGGGCCGCGAGGGTACTGCAGGGGGGCCGCGGGAGGTCATAAAAAAAATAATATAATTATTTAATGTTAAATTTATAATGTTTTGTTTGTAATATTAAAATATTTGTGTTCATTATTTGACATCAATAATCCACTGTAATCATGTTTGTATTACAATGTTTGTAGCAGAGGCTATTTCCCCAAAATAAAATAACCAGAAGAGCCTATTCTTAATGTTGTCTTCTTGGTTATTATTTTGGGGGGCCACGCAGACCCGTCAGATTTTTAAGGGGGCCTCGGTGTTACTGAGTTTGGGAATGGCTGGTCTATAGAATTAACCTGTGATTGAGTGGCACCAGTCTTTGTCCTTTTACCAAATATGCTAACAGTAAACACAAGATTAAACACAGATTGAGTAATAATAAGCTCATTTATGAAATGAATGAGTTAGTGATTTGAAATTTTTTTTTGCTTTGTATTATTAATATTTTCCAGTATACATATTCAGTTTTGAACTCCCTGTAGTGTGACATACTGTAACACTGATTTAAAAAAGTATAATTTGATTATATATTACTAGTTACAATCAAAGCACCATCAAATGCATAATTGATAAGTGCACATTTGCTTTGTTTTTTACCAATTGCAATTTGAGAAAATCTGATCGGATGTAACTGGGAACAAAAAAGAGCTTTCTGCACCTGAAACAAGTATTTGTAATACAACTTAATACCATTTGAACATCGTCACTGCAGTATTAGTGTTCTGGACCAAGAGTAACTCAAAAGGCCTTCATACACTGCAGGTAGTTCACTTTGGAGAGACCCAAGAGGGAAAATGCAGTTAGAAGTTTGTTGATTGAGTATGTTTGGCGCCCTAGGCCCGGGAGAGATGCTGATGAGTGCGGCGCTTGCTCGCGCGCATGATCCCCCCCGGGGCCTAGGCACTGGTGACGGCAGAGGCAGTAGGCAAGCACGCTTCGATGAGAGAAGGAGGAGGTGGGGCGGCGGAGGCTTTGCAAACTTCAGAAGGCCGGGAAAGTGGGCGTCTCCGGCTTTTAACTTGCTGTCCTGGTGGTTATTGGTGGATTAGATGTGGGCGTTTTGCTGGTGTAATGAGTAGAGGATGAGCAGGCTTGTAGATCTGGCAGCAGTGGCCGGGTCTACCACAGTGAACTTTCGCGAAGAGCTTCATAACACTGTTGACCGAGAAAAACAGTGATTTTTTCTGACGGCTGGACGATGTCGCTCAGTGTGTGAAACACGCAATACTTTCTAACCTTGAGCGACCACTAAGCAGTTATTCACAATGGCTTCAGTCATTGTACATTTTCTGAATAAATTCAGACTAAACAATCTTTTCACATTAACAAACAAAAAATAATGGCTGACACAAAAACCTATTTTTTTTCTCATTCTGGTGGTACCAAACCTGACTTATTTGTAATGGGAGTTCCCTTTTGTTGTTTTTTGGTTCAATATAGTAATAAAGAATGTAGGACATTAAACGAATGTAGATGTTTTATCTCCAGAAAGTCCAAATCAATGTATTGCAAATAATTGATTCAAAACAGCAGAGGGCAGCAGAGGTGTGTATTTTGGTAACTTCTGTTCAGCAGCTCATTATTTCAAGTCAATTACAAATAAACTGTTCAACTAAATGTAAACCAATGTATAAACTAGCATGGTCCTCTACTTCCCCTCTTTCTCATTTCAATATGTTTTTTGTCTTTTTCTTTTCTTGCTTTCTTCTCTTAAAAGCAACAACCATCTTAGCTTTAGGCAAGGTAATTGGGCACTCCACCAGGACAAATCCACACCAACATTAGTCTTAACTATACTTATAAACTGTCTCCAACATAAGACACACAAGTCTGTATTTAGCCATAAGGAGAACGCAAACACTGGCCACACTCATAAAAGAATAATTTTGGAGTGAGAGGAGACGCAGTCCAAGATAATAAAAACTTAATTAACCTTAGGAACAGCATAAACCCACGTTGTAAATCTGAAAGTGTGGGAACAAAAACATTTTTTTATTGAACAAAAACAATACATATGTCCATTACGTTATGATCAAACATTGTTGAAGACACAGATAAATACAGATTGGTTTTGTGGTTTTTGTAACCAATCTAATTGGTTAAGAGTCCAACCAATGTGTTGTATTAAAAAACAATTATAGATCTATATTGGTCACAGAGAATTGAATAAGAATGAGAGTGTACCAAATCTAATAAAGGAACATTTGGATAGATAGTGGGGAAACGTGTGCGTTCCAATTCGTGGGAGGAGCTGATCAAAGTCCATCAGGACCATTTATTTTTATTGTATATTGCCAATCTTTGCATGAGTCCATTTGACGATCTTTGTAATCTCCTTAATCTTCATCGATTCTCCCTTTGACAAAAGCTCAAATATGGAAAAATAAACGAGAGCCAGACACATGAATCACACTTCTTATAAAAATGCATTTGAACCACATCAGCTTCTCCTTGTCGAATCTAACGGCTGTCCAGTGTAGACGGTCCCATAACGAATGAGCTCAATTATTAGGACCACGCAGAGAGGAAAGGGGGATTCCAAAGGGGGAGTGGAGCTGAGGCCAGAATGGATGGAGTGTGGAATGGTTATAGGTTTTTTGTTTTTTTTAATCAATGTGTTGGCAGATTTGGCCAGTGGTGACCCAATGACTGATACCATAAAACCTTTCATTTGTGTTAGCATGACGTCACCCCATTTTAAACAGCACAGACTGCTCATTTCATTAAAGGAGTTTATATGAGCTTTTATTGTTACGACATTGTTACCTCATCTTCATTCACTCTAATGTTTTCTTCTTGCACATGTCCTATCTTTGATGTTATGACAAATCAGACTCCTTTTCACAAAAACAGTGGTCTGTGGTGTATAAAGGCCTAGTACGTCACATTTTACATGTTCACTCCTTGGAGAAAGCAATGTTATTTTTTTTCTTGCTTGGATTTTCTAAGATGTAGGGGCACTAACAACGTACATTTGTACTTTTTTTTTTAACCTGTTTTTTTTAACGGTCTTTACAATAATATTGAAATGCAGTTTGACAGTAAAAGTTCCTAAAACTCAGTGAGATACCCCAATGAGCTATATTAAAGTTCCAAGATTCAAATATATAGTGACACAAAAAGTGATCTACCAAATGGTCGAGGAAACCATTAAAGGGTTTATACTGTGTTGAAAAGGTAAACTTTTCTTATAAAATGTTGTCCTTTTTAGAACTAATAATGTCCTGTTAATTGTCCACTTGTTCACATGACTTCCCTTTGACAGATGTCATGCTGTGAAAACTTACCATCCATAGCTATGGCGAGAAATAAGGAATCAAAAGTATTGTATGCACTGTAAAATTAAGCTGGGTTTTTAATGATAAAATTAACGTTCTGCTCAAAGCTGGGGTACCTTCTTTTATTTGTCTCAAAAGAATCTTGTAAAAGTATAATGTTGTGAAGAAATCTGGCCACTTCATGGTGTCTTCATCTTATTAGAAAACATTGAATCTTTTGTACATCATGTTGTGAGCTGATTGGCTGAGTGAGAACGGTCCTCTTTTTTATTTTTATTTTTTACTTTTTTCAAACCTGATCTGAAGATGTGACAGAGGACCAGAGTTCATGCATGTAAAAACTAGAGATAGAAGCAAAAGATATTAGATTTATGAGCTTTATGTAAAGGAAAGCCAGACATTCAAAGGTTCTTTTAATCGCTGTTTGGAATGAGACTTCTGTAACAGTAATAATAATCATTTCAATACAAATAACATAAAAATGTGTGTACTTGTATTCTAATGTTTTGTGGATTATACTCAATAGCTACATTTTTGGACCCATAAGTAATATTGACAGTCAAGAGTACAGACTTTTTATGTCATTATCTTTTTCAGTTTGGTCAATGACTAAATACTGTCGAATTCTGGCCTATGAAAACATTTGTCGTCGTCTTACTGGCTGTGGATGAGTAACTAACGCTTGCTGATGTCAACACCCGGGGAGCAGGCAGGAGCATGCACTTATCAGACAAAGAGAAGAATTTAGTATTTTTCTACTCGCCCTTTAACCAGGACTGAACTGCCGCTTTGTACTGCACTGTAAAATACAAACAGAAAGCAGTCATTCATAAATTATTCACAAAAGAATACAAACAACTCAATGTTTGGGCAAATCCACTCGATTCATTTTTGTCTCATACCGTTGTTGAAACTTTAGGTTAAACTGGGGTGATGGTGGCTCAGTTGGTAGACCATTGGCCATTGAGCCCGAAGGTTGTGGGTTCGAGCCCATCATGAGACCTTCTCCACCGACTCCCACTGATATCTGCTCTTGTGTCCTTGGGCAAGACACTTAACCCACTTTGCCTATAAGGAGCGCGGAAGAGATGTTCGCTGCTTGCCTTGATGTGTATGTGTATGCATCAAACTGAAATTTCCCCATTGTGGGACGAATAAACGACCTTCTTCTAAAACATGGAATTTTCTTGGGACTAATTAGAGAATAATCTTATTACAAAGTTTATTCACAACCAGGATCCCCAAATTTCAAACCACAAAAATTAAACAATGGAAAAAAAAATCCATGTGTCCCCAGCTCTTGTTTTCACATAAAAAATAAAGTGCACCACATTTCCATTTCCATCGAAGAATTTTTCTGGGTCTCGGTCACATCTTAAGATCAGATAATTAAACAGAAAAAGAGAGGACCACTCTTCAGCCAATCGGATCTCTTCAGGATGCAAACGATAAAAAACATTTCTATTAAGATAAAAAGAGCACAAAAGAGTCTGGTTTGTTCCCAACATTTAAGTTGAACAAGATCATTTCTCTCCGGAAAAAACAATCTGTAGTATATAAGTAAAAGTTTTTCCACCATTTGCATCACATTTTGTCACAAAGTCAATTGTTGTTTTTGTTTTTTTTAAACCTGGAATCATAAAACGTTTTGCTGCGATGTCCACATTTTCCTCCTACATAAACCACAAAACATCTAATTGAGCCCACATGATTTGCACTGGTCATCGTGCCAGGAACTCGCTGTAAACAGTGCCGAATCTGTTTTTCCCCAAATTCTTTCTACTTAACGACAATGAAATACAGTCAATTTGTGGCCCTCCTCTTGTGTGCATGTCAGCCTAAAACCAGTAACTTCCTCTGGGGCCAAAGGGCAGTGATAATGACTTCCAGAGAGCAGTGGTATCAGGAAGGCCAAGGTCAAGTTCACATCTGGGATTAGCGGGTCGGCAAGGTGTCGTCTTTGACTGGGGGTCATCTGGACGATGGCAGACGCCACTGTCACGATGAGATCTCAAACAGAACAGAAGTTATCCTCTCAACAGCAGCAAGTCTGGGGGAATATCACTGTCTAGGCTATATCACATCCTAGTTCAATATATGTTTGGTCCAGGCCAAAATATGCCCATGGACACGTAATAACAATAATAATAATAATAATAATATTAATAATAATACCTTTTTTTGTATTGCACCTTTCAGACACAAATGCAGTTCAAAGTGCTTCACAGCAGCAAAATACAAACACAACAAAACAATCAAAGCATCAGTTTTATACAGCGCTTTTTTGGACACTTGACACTTTACAAGTCATTATTCTTTCACTCCATACACGGTGGTGATAAACTACTACTGTAGCCACAGCTGCCCTGGGGCACACTGACAGAAGCGAGGCAACCAGTGTGTGCCATCAGCCCCTCCGACTACCACCAACCATTCACACACACACCAGACTCATTCTAGGCAATGGGGGTGAAGTGTCTTGCCTAAGGACACAACGGCAGTTTGGCACTTTACAGCCGCAGCCGCCCCACAACAAAACAATAGCTGACATCTCATACAAGACATTAATAGTTGCACAACAGCAGAACAAATAATAGTAAATAAAAACACAAAGAGTGGGTAATAAGTTAATTAAAAGCCAAAGTGAATAAAAATGTTTTAGTTAGGAAATATAATATGCCAAATTACTGTAAAAAGAAAAAAGAAAATACTTTTTACATTTGACTCATCAGTGTCACATTTTTTTCACATTGGGATGCATATTCAAACATTTAAAAAAAATTGTTTTTAAAGTAGTGGTTAGCACTCTTGCATCTCGCTTCTGCCTACCCCTCTTGGGCATCATTTCTATCTGTACCTTTATTTATCTATGTATTATCTCTCGCTTTACTTGCCATGCTGAGCTCAAATAAAGACGAACGAAAACAAAACAGTGTAGCTGGGCCGCTGAACGCTTTCCTTTGGCGACCACTGCTCCTGACAGAGGCCATTGCAGAATGGGTCAAATGCAAAACAAAACAATGCTACAAGTCTGACCTTTGAGCACAATTATTCTTTTGTCGTTATGAATCTTTAATTAACTAGGAAAAAACTGAGATTAAAAAACAATTGAGAACAACGAAGTGATTCAAGTGATTACATTCGAAGTAGAGTCTGCAAATAGGGTTTGCATGTTCTCCCCATGTCTTTGTATTTTTCCTCTAGATGCATTCTGCGTCCTGCTCGCATTTCACAAGATGTAATGTTTTATGTTGTATTTCAGTGAAACTGAATCTGAAGGACGAAAATAGTGTGATGCAACCAAAATGAATAACAATACATTTCATTTGATGACGTATTTCAGTGATGTTTTTTTTTGTCTTTTTCAACATTGTGGACATTCTATGTGATTTCTGCTACTTTTGCCCTGCTTCTTCTTAAAACTGTGGTAATCCTATGTACAGTATATGCATGCGCGGAGAAACATTGTGAACACCAACTTTTGCCCTGAGTTCCTGAAAAAACTTCTATCGTGAGAAGCGGAAAGGTGAAACACATTGTGAAGAGCTTTGAGATAAAGTTTGCACTGCAGGGGCTAAGTAATAATGAGAACCCTCGTTTTCTTTTACATGTAGCCTCTTCCTTCCCAAGCTCTCCTCTCTATCCATCTCTGTCACTGTCTGTTTGCCTTTGATCTTTGCTGACTCAGTATCCTTCTCCACTGGGCTGCCACCATGAGATAAAAAATGACCTGCTCTCCTGTCTCCAACTTTCCCTCTCCTTTCGCTCTTGAGGAATGCATCAAGAGCGGCACAAAGGGACAAAAGGCCACGATAGGAAGGGAGAAAGTGCTGGAGGTAAGGAGGAGTTTTGGAAAGAGCCGGGAGAGGGGAAAGCTTGATTGGACCACAACACGGTCCACTAACCCTGAAAGAGCAGAGGTCCTTTGTCATCACGTGTTGACAAGCCGCATCCAACACATGGGGTCTCTTTATCAGCTCTCTCTGTGGCATATACCCCAGGGCTCAGCATACTGCCTTTGATGCATTCGTTGTGATGCCAGCCTCGTATGCTAATATCCTATTGCTCTGTGATGAGGCCCAAGATAATTTTTCTCCTGCAACGACAGCTCTCTATTGTGGTCATTGTAATGGCATCAGTCACGTTTAAGCTGGGAGCATGATCAATTCTCTCTTTAGGAACAGACTGTGTGCACAGACCACCGGGGCAACAGCAAACTAACGGCCCTGCACCAAACACTATGGAGGCAAATATTACCTCCAGCTTCTCCATGTCGAAAGCCCAGAGTATGCAGCAAGTAAATCATTGCAAAGGCTGTTTCACTCAGGCTGACACCATACAGTCTGAATGGTTCCTGCAAAAATCAGTCACCAATGTTTAACTGAGACAAAGACAAAGGAAATGACTTGGTAACAGTTCAACTGACATTCATCCAAGTGAGTAATAGGAATAAGGATAAAGGAACAACGCATTCTGGAAGGGCAAGTCACCTGCATGTTGGAAATTAGAAAATAATACCATCTGGAGAAGTGTGTACGGCCATGAAGCAGCAATTCCAAATAAACTGATTTGACAGGTCCTCCTTCAAGATGACAAATGTTTTTTCTGGGATCCAACAAAGTGTGATTTTCCTTCTTCTCCTTTAAGTTCTCCTGTAGTTTTTTGTGTGCCGTTACTGTTGTTGTTATCGTCTGTTCTTGCTGTTGCTGTACTATGTAAAATGTTTAAATGTGTATCTGTTATTGTTGTGTTTTGGGAGTGGGCACCAATAAGCTCTTGCTTTGGCCCAATCCTTTTGAGCAGAACTTGTCTGCTCAAATAAATAAATAAATAAAATAAAAAAGTTACACCTTATGTAATGCTATGGTGAATGAAAAGTTACAATATGGCTTATTTCCACACGTATTGATTCTAGTTCAATATAGATTATTATTACTATTATTATTAAGTATCCAACAATATCTTCTTCCTTGATCAGAGCCTGACTGGCAAACTATACTGACATGGAGAAAGGCTTGGGGGGCTGCAGTGAAATTACAGGCCTGGTCTAATGGTCCAACTCCTTTGTTTGGATCAAGGAGGACTTGTCGGAACATGCAGCGGCTGTGACACGGTCTGAAGCCAACAATACGTGGTGTGTGCCGATAAGAGAACAACTCAGGCATTGTTCACATCAAACAGTTGCCGTGCGCAAAGAACTTGGAAATGTGTCTGCGCGTAAAGACGGGCGTCAAGTAAATCAGGGGCTGGAGTTACTTCCATCATCGGGAGCAAAGTTATTTCTGACTCACATTCATCTGCGCTCACGTTATGATGGCCTTCTCCCTTTCCCTGTCACCCGCGGGAAACCTCGCGCTAATTCTCAACGGAGTGCAGCGGATGGAATCATCCATCAAGAGTCAATAGTTAACGCCGGCTTTGTCTCGGCTCCATCAATCATCGTGACGTGCATGTGCACATACATTCAACATGTGCGCGCGCACGTGTTTCTCAGAGGGCTCTACGACCCCGCGGGCCCCTGACCCTGCCCCACACTGGCCCGTCTCCTCATACTCTCCTCCCTTTGACCCTTTCTTCCTTCCGAGCAGCGGGGGCTCCAGACCTGCGCCAATCTAACCGCTGGTTTAATCTGCGCGTCCACCTCCTCGTGGCGCGGGCTGCTTTTCCTCTGACGCAGAGCCCGTTAAATGGATAGCCCATCGGTCGAGGCCAGAAGCTGGATCCCATTACCACCGCTTTTATTTTTATGACGCACCACTCAGGCGTAGAGTGGACTGAGTGAACTTGGCCTCTTAAATTTCTGTCTATAAATATCTGATCAATATACTGCAGCAGGGATCCATCCAACACAGGCGCAGACATGAGTCATATTAATTAAATTTAACACACCTCAAACTGTATGTACAGCATACAATGTATTCTAACTGAAAACATGACAAGTACAAATCAGGTCTTCATGGCACAATAAACAATACAGGGTGGAATAAATGTAATTTGTGCCTAAACAACAACAACAACAAAATTCAGGAATAAAGACATGAGTCACAAAGGCACCATCACCAAGTGCGCACCGCACACATCAGCACAGTTCAGTGCCGGGGCGGACCTTGTCTGCGGCAAATTGGTTCCGTGGGGCGGGTTTTGCGCCAAAGGGGCGTATCTAAGTACAAGTATCCCCGCGCTCTCTTGGACCATTCATTAAGAACTCAGCGTTTCATTACGCGTAGTGCTTCAAAGACACGCACTTGTACAGAAGTGGACAGCCGCAGACGTTTCAGCAGGACATTTATCAGTGGGAGCTCTGCTGGCATAGCAGCACTAGAAGGACAGAGAGGGACTTGAGCGCACTTGAACCCGACAACAATTAAGATGGATCGCAAAATCCCTGACTTTGCTGGCACCTGGGAGATGAAGAGCTCTGAGAACTTTGAAGAGCTGTTGAAAACGTTGGGTAAGTACCATGTGGCAGTTGGGCATATAGTTTTACCTCAACAATCATTGTTTCAGCTTGTTTCCCTTTGACATGTTTGAGAATGATGCCAAAGAGTCCAAATCTGCGCATTGTAGGTCATCTCCAATCTGTGCGCGCGCCAGCACAGAGCGCCCGTGTACAGCCGGGGCAGGGGGTCTTTGTCATTCTGCATAACCCAAAACTCTGCGCTCTTGCCCTCGGTCAGACTCGCCCCCTCCTCTCCCTTAATAACAATAGAAACAAACGGTGGCACATCTGTCTGCGTTACAGCGCAGACTGTGAAGAGATCCGTCTTGACATGATACAGTGCTGGACAATCGCACATAAAATGAGGACGGACACCTGCTGCGCGCGGTGTCTGCATGGGGCTTAATATTGCTCCCTTTGTACGGACTAAGGGATTTGTACAGTGCAACCATCTGTCGTAAGGGGTCTGAAAGATTATTGCACAAAGCACCAGGATAAAAACAAAGCGTCCAGAAACTGTTCAGCAATATGTATGTCTCTCCTTTGGTGGGTTATCTCTGAACTCTGGCTTCCCAAATCAACAAAGATAAATGAGATCCTTTATAGCAGATACTTTTGACCAAGGCTAACAGAGATGAGGATGCAAGTGTCCACTGCTCCTAAAAGCCAAAAGCAGAGTATCAATAATGTAAGTCACACGATGAATGCACAAAGAGAAATACATGTGTATTAACTGTGGTCTAAACACGTCTGAAGTTCCCCACAGATGGGCACAGTCTGTCATCACCACACAACTCATTTATTGGCTCATCTCCTTTCCTCCTAAATACTTCCTCCTCCTCTGACCTTTGTCCCCGAGCATCTCTTTGTAGGGTCTGTGCTCGGTGCCAAATTAGTTTTCCAGCTCTAAAAGAGTGACAGTTTGTCGAAAAGCTTCACCCCCGTCTGTTACTCCCAAATGGTTCATGGTCCAGCCCTTGACTTTAGGGTCAAAAGACAGTCGTCAGGTGGTGTCAGTTGGCTTATTGCCTGAACTCTCAAAGGCACAGAAGGATGTCTCTTCTCACACTGATTGTAGGTCACCAAATGTCTGCAACATATGTTTAAGATGTGAAAAAGAAGTCAAAACATATTTTGTGTTTATGTTTCCCTAAACCATAGACTTTAACCTTCCCCTGGCTTAGATACAAGTTAAAGGTGCGCATTTGTACATTTTCTTGTGTGGTCAGCAACATGCCCATTGCTTAGACTTCAATGTTCCAGAAGACAGAATTAGGTTAATCTCCATTGAAACAAGAACCTAAATATACCACATTAACACAATGGATCATATTGAAATCTCAAATGAGGTCTTCCTCACATCGTACACACAATACATAACATGTTGTTGGGGTATTGTAAATATTAATATATTATTCTAAAGTTATGTCAAACATTCTTGTCATAAGAGGCAGAAAGTAAGTGATAGATCTCCACCAGAAAATTAACATATTGTTTATAAGTGTAAGCTACAGCAGCGATCCAGTTGTTTCATGTCTAATACCAATCTCTATACCCGATGTGAACCGATACCAGCAAAGGGACAAAAATCCGCAAATTTATTACAGACCAACAAATATTCCTGATTGGCACCAAAATGTAATGCCAGTATTAAAACCAGTGCATCCTTAGTATTTGCTTTTGTCTATGGGTTGATAAATCATACATAACAATAATAATAATAATAATAACATGTTTTATTCTATTGCACTTTCAAGAAAAGTTCAAAGTGCTACAGATTTAAGATAAGATCAGAGATTGTCCTACAGTGGGGAAATTTCACCTACATTTGTCCTACAGTGGGGAATTTTCAATGTTGCAGCGCACATACAGTACAGTAGTAAGAGCACTGCTATGTTTCTTAGCTAGCTGTAAATGCTTCATTATCAATCTTTCAATATATCTCTATTATGTACATATATGGATTTAAAAAAAACAGGCACGCTAGCACACAGTTCAATGTTGCATGTTCATATTCTCCTGCAGACTGAAAAGTATAAGAGTCCAGACAATTTGTAATATTTGCATTTTCCAACATGTTTGCCGATTTGACATATTCACATGGCATTGAATGACGTCCCAGCGTAGCCGTGCCCTTTCCACCCCTCCAGTGCGCACACATGACACGTAGTTGATGATAAAACCCCGCAGACGGCCTGTGCGATGCGCACGTCTACGGGCTGCATGACGGGGCATTTGGGCGAGTGTATATATATTTGCACTTGGTGACAGGTGGGAATGTGCCAGAGGTGAGAAGTGCCAAATCCAACACAGCGGGACACACACACTTCCTTCACACTGGGACACAGATCTTCACACTGAGCTCTGGCGCTTCTGTCTACGCGCTGCGCCTCCAAACGCAAACACCAGCCGGGCCAAAGATACTGTTTTCCCTTTTCACTTTGGTGTTTTTGCATTGGCTTTGATATTTGTAGCATTAGACTTTACCGCCCCTTATTCAACTGTTTTTATGATACCCGTCTTTCACGAAACTTTTTGTGCAATATGTTAAACCTGAGCTGGTTATTACGACATCTGAAGGTCAAAGCAACAGTATCGGCAAAGTGGCAGATGCTGAGGTCCTCAATTCGTAACACCACGTGATAGATTCGATACAAAACATAACTTCATAACTTGTGAAAATAATATCTTTCATAAAACATAACAATAATCTTTAGAAACATACTAAACTATTTAATTAGTCAATTGGGTGATTTTCCTTTATAGCATTGAAAACAGTCTCTCATACTTTCTGTATTGATTTCTTCTTCAGGTTGAATTGAATTGTTTATTCTTCTTTGAGGTTGCTTCCATCCAGCAGTTTCAGCTTTATTGTCCAAATTCTGTCTATGTCCATTTCTGATTTCATAAAGAGGTAATCATGCTTCACTTTGAATTATTGCGTTCACCTGTCAGTCCATTATTGTATGGATGCAGTATAATATCCTTCTCATAATAAATTAACACATTACAGTAAACATCAAGTATTTTAACTATTATAATATATTCTTGATTTAAGTGGACACTGAGCTTTTCATGTGTATATTAGAGTTGTCACAATACTAAAATTAGAAATTCAAATTTGATACAAAGAAATAAACTTGATACCTGAAACCAAACCAATTTTGATGACACTGTGATAATCAAAAAAAATAATAATTCCAAAATGTATCAGAAAATCTATTATTTTACCCTGTTTTGTCTTGTAATGATATTTTGTCAAATTAGTTGCTATTTTCAATACTAAAACTACTAGTTTTGGTATCAATTAATATCTGTTTTTTAAAAACCCGAGACTATACATAATTAAGCTATAATTCATATATAGCTTAATTAGTACCACAAAGGCCCACATATTACTGGCCTTCAGATGTATGTCTCTTCACATTTTTCGGTTGTCTAATAAAATGGCTTTTTTACATTCTTTGAAGACACACGGTTTAGTTCAATTTTATGGTTTGTCTTTTACAACACACTGAGAAATGCACAGCATTAGCCAGAAGAATTCTGCAGACACTGGTGAGGACTTATAAACGTTGACATGATTGATGTACTCCAGTCTCGGTGATTGTATTTGTGCTTTTGTTTCTTTGCAAACATGTGCGAGATGTTTGTGTCTGGGAGAAGGCAGATGTGACTTCACTGTTTCCCTCTCCTTGTTATTAGACACAGACTAAGTACACAAACACAAGAGCGACACATAAAGCACCAAAGGCCACTCATCACTTCCATTTGAAATTACCACTGGAGCACTTGTACAGCAGCTGCGACTTGTGCTTCCACAACTTCTACCAATCACCTCAAATCAGCCCAACATGGTTTACTAACTTGTTCATGTATCCAGAGAAAATCAGAAAAGTAAAACAAACATTCATTGTTAAAACAAATGACAAGAATGAAGCAAATGGATAAATATTTCAAAACATCCCTTCTTTAAGAACAGTTGAACAATTGCGTTCAGTGGACGGCAGGTTTATGAATCTCATAAATCTATTTTTACTTTCTTTAAAAAACAGAACAAATCGTGAATTTTCCCCACAGAGGAACAAATAAAGGTTTATCTTATCTCCTCTGACCAACACTCATTGCTGTCACTATAACATCTTTCTACGATGCCAAAACAGCAAGTGCTATTTCTGTTTCAAGGGATAATTTCACTGTTCACTGTTCGCTTACCTCCGCCTGTCTCTGCTCATAGGGGTCAATGTGATGCTGCGTATGATCGCGGTGAAGGCTGCGTCCAAACCGCTGGTGGAGATCACACAGGACGGAGAAACACTGTCCATTAAGACATCCACCACCGTGCGGACCACCCACATCACCTTCACCGTGGGACAGGAGTTCAACGAGGCTACGGTGGACGGACGCCCCTGCACGGTACACATCCCACCATTACCACCATTTTGATTACGGATGTCACACAATTTCACATTTTGAAATTATGAAAAAAATATGATTATGTCACAAGGTTGAAAATAAAAGAAGAACTCAAATTCTGGACTGCAAGAATAGATGATGTAATAAACACAACTCAAAAATAACTAAACCAAGGATATAATAGAAATCCAAAAATCCAACCGGGAAGAAAACACAATGGAGCGACAAGAGGAGAGAAGGTGAAACACAGAAGGGTGGGGCAGACACTCAACTGAACAGACATGAAGTCAAACACAAAACAACATAAAACCAGGAAAAGGGAATCAACAACAAGTTCACACCATGACAGTATTAACAAATATTCACAAAAGAGAAAGAAAAGAAAGTATAACCTCTCTTTGTCTAACGTGTTACTGTTCTTCGCTTGAAGATGGCATAATTATGTTGATTTGATCGTAACAATATTAATCATATTCAAAATATGGAAAAAAAACTACTACTGCTACTTAAAATAATGTTAAAATAAAAGAATTTCACTCTAGTTTGTGAAAGGAGGAAGATCATATTTTATAAAGACCTCTGTCACATTGTTCGCCTCCACAACGATGGAGCAGCGTTTTCACACACAAACATAAATGAGGATCAGCTCTCAACGCTTCCTTATATTTTTGATTCAGAAGAAGACAATATTGTGGATTAAATTTCAATTTTTAAAAACAAAATACATTTATGCATTCTGTTTTTCATGTTTTGGTAATTTCTCTGTCTCTATGGACATTCTGAGGGCTCGGCAGTGGTAGGCCAATCACAACACTTTTTATATAGAAAATAATAGCATAGTAACATTATTATTAGTATTACTATTATTAACGTTACTATTATTATTAATTAATTAATTGTGTTCACCAACATAAAAAACAAACAATAGAATAAAAAAATAAAGAACAATACGCACGTAAATTTAGAACACATTTATGATAATGCATGAAGCAGTTCATGCCACTGAAGCGTTTAACAGGCTTGTTGAAGTCCATCAAAGCGTTACACTGAAGTCACTATCCATTCACTCCGGACACAGTGTTGGTAAACTATTACTGTAGCCACAGCTGCTCTGGGGCAGACTGACAGAAACGGGGCAACCAACCCCCTCTGACCACCACCATCATTCGCTCAGTCACCACATTCATACAGCTGCTGTAAGGCATGAGGGCTACCCACTCAGCCACAGTATCTGCATATTCATTCTATCTGGACCTATATGTCTTTGTAGATCAATGTAGTCTATAGGAAAAACATACAAAAAATGGTCTGAAATGTATTAGTTTAATCATTTAACTTGGTTCAAAATAAATGATTATTTGTGGATATAAAAACACCAAACAAGTGAATATGTATACACTAGTTACTAACAGATCTGGGAAGAAAATTCTTCACAAGTGAGCCAGACTTGGTTCAGTTAAAGTGAACCAGAGCTGTGTGAACGCCTGGATGTGTTTAACATCTGCAGCGTCAACTAACTGTAGCTTGATTTTAAACATAAATAAATACACACATTACAAAATGACAATATTTTTCCAAAACTGAACCACCCAAGTTTGCAAAGCGACACAGTAAAAACACAGTGGTGGAGTTTATCTGTTGGATTTGGCCCCTCATTGTTTTTGGACTGATAGTGAATGATAACAGTCCCTCAGGCATGTCATGTTACAGTATTTAATCCTTTGGCCTTTTTCTGACCTTTTTCACTCTGCGCTGCCCTTTCCGCCCTGTGTTTCCCATCAGTGGTTATAGTTTGTCTCCAAAGCAAACACACGCATCCCGGCAGAGCTGATCACGGGAGCATCACAAGCTCGTCACAGCCATAAACACTATTGATCAGAGAAATCACATCTATTACAGTGGTCGAGTGGTTAATAAAAAGGCTGCTCTATTTATCACAATCACAAACATCTCCAGGGAATATTCGTAGCTGGGCAACAGAGGGCCCAGACTGTAGGAAGAAGGGGATATTATTAAGTCAATATACAGATTTGGGTGGCACAGTGGCTGAGTGGTTAACATTTTCTCTTCTCGGCTGTATTCCCCTTGTATGCATAAGTTTCCTCTGGGTGTTCCGGTTTCCCCTACCAGTAAAAACATAACAAAACCTCCCTCTCTGATCCTGGCCAAGCCGAGCATCAACATTTAGAGCTGGGTCCCCAGGCGTTGTACTACGTTGACCATTGCTCCTGACAGAGGTCAGGGTCAGGAGCAATGGTCCTGACCTCTGTCATAATACTGGATATTACTATTGGTGTTGACCATTTCCTTTCCTTCTCTTATTAAAATATGTTGATATTAGTAATACAAATTAACATATTAATTATAATATCCTTAAAGGCACTGTGTAAATAATCTCTTTGATTCCTTTTTTATTTCTTTCATAAGAAATATTTTCTTGTTGGTTGCAGAGTTTCCCGCGCTGGGAGACAGACAGTAAAATCAGCTGTGATCAGACGCTGGTGAAAGGGGATGGGCCAAAGACGTCATGGACACGAGAGCTCACCAATGAAGGAAAGCTCATTTTGGTAAATGTTTTCTCCACTCGAGTTCCCTTATCAGAAAAAGACCTGGAGCTGTTTTTAGATCCAACCATGCTAATAACAGGAACCTCAGGCACACACATTTAACTGCGCCCCTTCTGTCTAACAGCAGTATGATGTCACTAAATTACTTTAGGTAATTTCTCAGGTGAAATTACATTATTTACAATCACATATGGATATTTTTTGCATTGAAATAAGTGAAGGTTTTCTGACAGAACAGACTTACACTTTCAGACTTTACTTGTGTTGCAAACCTTATCTTAAGTTAATCTCATGTCATTTGGATTGGTTTTGTTTATACTACAGTTCTTTTGGCAAAGCATATATAAGCTTCAGTCAGATAACATCATGTAAAAACATGAACTTCAGATCCAATGATGAAATAGGCTTCTGTGCACTGAGTACAACATCAAACGCATTACGTACTGCGCAGTGTTTTGACTTGCTACACTCATTACTTTATCTCAGAGTTAGATAGTTACGTAAACACAGTAGCACCGTTTAGGCCCAGGCTGATCGTGCTGAAACTCACATTGCAAAATAAAGAGAAAGATTGCAATTTAGAATTACTACGTTTCTAAAAGGTTACATGAGTTGAGGGCTAGGTGTGTAAAATCTGGCCTGCTTCCAAACAAGACCCTTGTTTAATTATGCAAGAGTCCCTCAGTCTTGTTTAATTTGCCAACATTAAAAAGTCTCTCTACGATTACACGCATCTTGGGGTAAAAATAGTTCTGTGTAGATATTGTATAAACCTAAAACAAGAGGTACTTTTTTCAACAATATTAATGTATGTTCTAATATAGAGCTTACCATCAAAATAAGTTTGGTCATTGGTAAAAGGCACAAATTAGGGCTTTTTTATATTAATTTTGAATTCAACTCAGTTTGGCGGAATTTAGCATTAGCATTTGGTAAACAAAACATAGTCTAATATCTGCTCACCATGTGTAGACTTTAACACATATGCTCTAAAATACAGTAGGATTTCAAGTTATATTGTATTCATTTTTCAAGTTGGTGCTTGTGGACCACATTAAAATGTGCACTTTGTTTGCAATCCAATCATTAAAACATTAATCTCAGTTCATAAATGCCCTAGTGCAGAATTGTGAAGTGGTTTAATAACTACAGTTTCAGGACTGCAGTTAATTATCTGAAAGTAAAGCAGATAATTATTATCAATTATCCCATCACAACATTCCAAAGAACCCATGGTTTAAAATTGTGGTGGAAGGGAAGCAAAGGCTTTCCTGATATGTATGGGGATGGTCAAAAGTCAGATTTAGACTTAGTTTAGTGTATTTCTCTGTAATCTCTGGGTTCTCTGTCAGTTCATATCAGTACTATGATCTCTATTATTTTATTAAAAAGGTGGCGAGAAGTGGTGACAATATTCACAAAACATGATTAGACGATTGGGGACACACCGATACCAATACCGGTATTGGGTATCGGGTCAATACCATAGACTTGTACTTGTACCTGATGCCGTGCAACCGATACCCACATTTAGGAGGGCCGGATGGCAGTTTTTAATGAGTAAAGCAGACTGTACGTTGTGTAAAAGGCACAACTGTCACGAGGTCAGGTCCAAAACAAACACATATAACAACAGCAAGTTGATCAAACATCTGAAAACTCACCACCACACGGCGTATAGCACCTTTGCTAGCACCGGAGCACAAAAGCAACAAACTCTACAACATAGAGTTTGTATGAGTGGACTATGACAGTGGCTCTTATTGTTGACTGTTAAATCAATTGCTAATACAGTACGTTTAACTGTTAAAGCACTTTCTTATAGTTGAAATGAGAAATAAAACATTTGAAGTGTGAGTTGTATTCGTATTATGAATTCCCAGGGATAACACACATACAGTACTTGTATCAGTATTCGCTTTCGGCAAGTACTCAAATTAAGATACTTGTATCGGTTTTGAAAAAAGTGGTATTGGTTGCGAATCACTATTAAATAATGATCTGGGCATCTTCTTTCAACATATCTTTCAAAAACTGTTACTTTCCCACTGAATTTTGTTGGCCCCAGCCCTCTAACTGAAATATGATTTGAAATGATGAACGCAAGCGATTTAACTTGGCGTGAATAAAATCAAGCACATTATATTGAATACCATCTTTATATTTTGCATAGTAGAATACGTTACTATATTTCTGCGCTGAACAAAAGTCGGCCAGCAGCACCTTAACCCAACAACAGTGGACGCACTCTTTCCACAGTCCAACCCGACAAACTGTAAATAGACGAGTATTTTGGGCCTTTTGCTCCGTTGAGGGTTGACAACAAGTTCAATGCAGACACTGTGTTCTTAAAACAAGACAGCTATGTTTCAAGTATGTTTATTAAGCAGTCATTGAGAAGAGTTTCTTTTAAACTTTAAAATTTACACATGGTTTATATTTTAATGTTTTGAAGAAACTGGCAACAGTGAAATCTCAATAAAAATATGAGATTTCACGAGACAAATCACAGGGGAATTCTCAGCTATTGAAGATTAAAACATTGGCACCAGGGCTAAGTTTGATAAGTCACTGATTTTACTTAAATTTCACAAAAGAAAATGCTTTGTTTTCTAAAGTACAATTTGCAAATGCGCAAAAATTTTAAGGAACCACTTGGAACTCCTATGCCTTCCATGGTGAACAGACAAAATATAAATCAAAGCTCGACCGTGTAACTTTTGAGCCAAAAAATAGGTTAAAACAAAAGCACTGGGAGTTTTTATTGACATCATTTGCCCTCAATAATCTGGCTATATTTCTATACAATTGATCTTGGCAAAATATAATATTTTCCCAAAATACAAATTCCCATTCATGCTCAGATGACCTCTTCACATTCACAACATCATTGCTCAGTCCATTAAAACAGCACATTCATCATTTCAAAGTGGGAGGTACAAGACACTAAGGCCCCGTTGAGTATCGGTTTGGCCTTTTGTTTACATGAAGACGGTGTTTCAGGTGAAAACGCAAGCGTTGAGAAACACCCTCCAGAGTGGAACAGAGCAGATACACTTCTCAGCGGGGGCTCTGCCTGCTTTGACCTCACCACTTCACTGCACGTACATTTGGACATGCGCAGTAGCCGAGACAAACGTAAACAACAATGACGATTGATCAATATATACGTTGTGTGCTTCGAGCGCCATACGGTGCAGAAATCTATTCCTTTGTTCGTCCAAACGAAACTTTGCAAATCTGTAGTTTCAGTTTCCATTTTTGCTGCTACTGTCAAATTCAGAATGGCGCATTCTTTTACAACTTTGCGGTGGCCTGAGGAGCATGGTGTTGAGGAAGTGATTATACTGCTGGGGGTCATGTTGTGAAGTTCCACTGCCCACTACTGGTCAGGCGCTAGAACTACATTGTTTTCAGTCGTCTAAATGGGGCCTCAGTTGGGGCTGTGGTAGCCTGGTTTTACCATACCCTCGTACTTGTTTCGTACATCCCGGGAAAAAAAGATTTGACCGGAGTTTACGGATGGCAAAGGCCAGGCTAGGGCTGTGGGAGATGATTTGAAGAGTCATGTTTGGTTAAATCTTTTACCCAATTATTTGACACAAAATACAATTATTTAAGAGAAATTAGATCCAATACAAAGTGTTTTAAATAGAAGGAGAGGCTACTCTTCTGAGGGGGCTAGCAAAATGTCTTAGAGAAAATGAGTCAGAGGCACTCAGATGCAAAAAGTTCCAGTTTAATCCGCCAACGCATTTCAACGTGCTGTTTTCATCAGGGCTTGTAAGAAACGCACTGGTGCATGACCGCCTATATATCCTGTATACATGTATGAAAGACATACATGTATGTAAAACATGTATGTCTTTTACCAGGATTATGTACTATTTTGTATATTGTACTGTACTATCAACATTAACTGGCATGTGCTTGTTAATGCAACGAGAGAAAGGATTCCCACTCTGGAAGCTGGTTTCCGATTTTTCAGGTTTCACATTTGTAAAAAATGTGCTTTTTTATTGTGTAAACAGGCCATGCAGTAGGCGTGCTGATTTTAGGGCTGTAATTAGTAATTTTTTTTGGTAATCGATTGGTTGGCGGATTGTCCTTGCGATACGGGATTTATTCTAAAGTGATGCCCCTGGAGAACATCCTCATAGAGATGACTTGTTACACATTGGGTTATTTGATTACAACTACTTTATAAAGGCATTTAATTTAATTCCAATTGTATACTTCATTATTGCACAATTCTACGTCACAATGGAAAAAGCTGAAACTTGTTTTTTTTCCCCTCTTCTTTCCAGACCATGAGAGCGGACGACACCATATGCACACGAGTCTACGAGAGACAATGAAATGCAGCACTTTCGCCTGTCCACGCCTCTAGAGCCCTTGCCAACCAAATGTATATTGCCTAACCCCTTAAGACTTTTGTACCTTTCTCCTTTTATAACAAGCTTGTCCATTGTGCTGTAGCTTATCATAACACTTTTAGCTTCACGTCGGTCTTAGTTCCTTGTGTTGTGTTTGAATGAACGTGTGTCTGCACTTTGTGAATGACTGTATGTGTGAAACGATTCCCGATATCTGTTTTGAATGCACCCTCCATGTTGACTTTTTCTATCACGTGATGCCATTTTATATTTATTTTACTTAAAGGGTCTGTAACAGTATGTATCACATTGGTTTTTATTTGAATCTTTACTCTTTTATATATAAAACTTGTAACCATAGCAATCTTTCTATGGCGGTAAAACAATAAAGCACAGTATTAACCGAAACGCATGGCTTCTTGTTATTTGCCGGTTGCAAAAATCATTAAAAACATGGGAGGCATTTAGCAGTGCGTTTGTTTTACGGTTTGTGAGTGCAGCTGCGTGTTTGAGCACATTAGATGGCTCCATTTTATTTTGGGCTTCTGTCAGCTGTCTGCAACTAGAATAACTCGTCTGTATCCTGACAACACAACTCACTCATTTGCCTGGCTGTTTCCTCACCACTTTTCTTTCAATTGAGTAAGGGCCAAACAACCTCCAAAAATAAAACTGCAATTTAGTTCTTAGTAGGGCTGAAATCAAGATACAGCAATACATAATTCTTTATTCATAGGTTTATTATGATAATTTTAAATGCTTCAAATAATATTATAACATTTTATATACAGTGTTTATTTTTTCCATTAGCTGTTCATCAATATTTTTGTGTGGTGTCAATCCTCTTACTGTTCTTGAATGCTGAAACTTCCCACTGTGGGATGAGTCGCACAATCTTGCAGCTCTTGCCCCTCCAAAGAAATATAATCATTCTTTCCACAGAGCTACTTTCGGTCCTCTCGTGTCTTTCACATAATCTCTGTTTTCGGTTTGCTGATCTTTCATTTTTGGAATTACAAAGAGCCAACATTAGCTGCTAACTGGCGACATAGGCCCCGTCTAGACGTAGACACTGTAACACTAAAACGTTAGAGTTCGGAATCGGTTTGCCTTCCGTTTACATTAGACAGTGTTTCAGGGGGATGAAAACGCAAGAGTTGAGAAACAGCCTCCAGAGTGGAACAGAACAGATACACTCCTCAGAGGGGGCTGTTTCACAGCTGTGTGAAGAAAAAGGTGTGAATTCTCGGCATCTATGACCTCACCATTTCCCCGCACGTACGTTTGGACATGTGCAGTAGCCGAGAACAAACGTAAACAACAATGGCGGCGGGTACACTAACAAGCTACGTTAGAGCGCTTCGAGCGCTACATGCAAGAGAATTCTACCCCTTCGTCCGTCTAAAACCACGCAAAGCTGCAGTTGCAGTTTCCATTTTCGCAGCTGATAAATGCAGAATGATGTTGGTGCATTCTTTCACGTGTTTGCGGTGCCCTGAGGAGGATCTTGAGGAAATGGTTAAACTGCTGGGGGTCACGCGTGTCGTGCTGTAACATTCCACTGCCCTGTCCGGGCGCTAGAACTACATAGCAGTTCAAAAAAGGAGCCTGGTCGTTTTTCCTAATTGATTGCATCTCCATCTAAACGGGGCCATAGACTGCAAACAAATACGCATCTGTGGCCGAACGCACCAAATAATGGCATACAACACATTTTGAATTGATACAAACATCTCCCTGAAAAGCTTTAATATAAGAACAATTGTAATCTAGGGAGGTTGTAAACATAAAACAATAGAAATTTGGTGGTTTGTTGTATTTTTTTTACACCTTATCTGTTGCTGTGGCCTAGGACAGGGAAGTCCAGACTTCCGTATCTTGCATACTTTCTCCAGTTCATCTGGGGGAATCTGGATTTATTTATATAGTATCATGGATCAGATATTGGTATACATATTGTATCATGACTTCCAATACTCAGCCTTAGTGCACATTAAAACAGACATAAATATAAATGGATGCTTACGTCACACTTTTTTGTCTCCATTGGAATTTTCTGTGTTTGACCTATCCATCAATGCCAATACTGCAATGCAGCCCATCTCCTGATATCGATGCACTTGGTCAAGACCTTATGACTTTGGGTTTGACTTGATTTTGGCTGATGAAGGAAACCGGAAAGCAAGGTTAAATTCAAGAAGAGGCATAGGAATCTGCATCCTTACTGCTGTGAGGCCGTATGGAAGTAGAAAAAAGGTTTAATAATGGCATGCATTTCAGAACAAGTTTTAGCTTCCATAGTTTCCAGAAGAAGGTGCTATTTGTTCAAGTAACAAGTAACTTTGGTGATGTCCTTGCCCATGTAGACTTTACAGTATTAAGGACCTTTCCACAAAACCTTTAATTGAATGAAAGTTCTTTGACAATTATGCTGTGAGGCTAATTATACACTGGGGACAAGTTCAGTCAGGAAATGCCTCCAACATTTGGAGGGTTATTTTGCACACGCCTTCAAAATGCCATCACCAGTGTCAGATCAAGTTAAGAGGCTTCCTGACAAGTGGCTATTCAACACATCATATGACTGTGAACAAGGGGGCGGGTCAAACGACAGGAAGTGCCATCTGTATTGTGCTTGATTGACAGCAGCTGTAGTTAATGGGAAGAGGGGCTGTGGCAATGGAAAAGATCCATGACCCTCAGTTCACACACGGTGGGTAAAAACTGGAAAGAGAATTCAAAGAGAGGTATTTAGTGATGCTGGAACGACTTTTTCCAAACTATCTTGTCTTGACTTTTCTCTCCTCGCCCTGCAGCTGTGTGTAGTTACAGTGTGACCCCAATAAAGTGTCCTCCTCTGCCTGCTGCCCCAATAAAAGGGGTAAATAACGGCCCCTCCCTCACTGTTTATTACCCCCTGGGGCAGTAAAAGGCAGCTGTCTATCCTTCAAACCGGCCGGCCCGCACTGGACCCCAGTAAAAGCACACATGTACTCACACAGTCACATACCAAACTGAATTCTGGGAACTTTTCACACTGTACATGTAGACCATAAACCAGCGGCGAGTCTCAGAAGTTGAAGACAAACGCCTGCATTCATCAAAGGTGTAAGACAAATACGGCTACTGCCACTTTGAATCATTACTCGGGAACAACGGCAATTAAATCATGCACTATTGGGAATTGAAGTGTTGTGTTTGGGCTGAAGTCAAACAAACGTATTGGATGTTGATAAAAATACAAACGCATTTCTACCAACTCAAAATATTTTTGATTTATCCTCATAGTTTGAGGTCGTTCAAAGACACATATATTGGTAGACTCTCGGAAATGTCTGCTTGCTTCTCCTGAAGAGTTCACGCTTTAAAACACTTTGTCTCAACGGAGGTGGATGATTTGTAATGTAAAATTATAATGAAATATAATTTCTGACATCATCAATCTTAAGTAATTTGTTAATTTTAAAAGCTCAATGTTTTTCTGAAATGATGGGATAAAAGAGACAAATCCGCAAATTTCTATTTCAGTCACACCACAACGGGTCCAGGCCCCATTAAGGCCCTGCGGGCTCTGCTCAGACCACAGATGAAGTTAAAGTGCACCTGATTTTTGTCCCTTGCATATCACAAGAAAATCATCAAACAAAGAAGGTAAGAACAGTGGCCATGTCATGGTGGCAGTGGTTAGTGGAACTAAGGGAGACAGGCTGTACAAGAATATAGACAACTCAAACATGAAGGATTTAATCTAAAAACAACTTTGAGTCTGTAAATGCCAAGAAAAGGCCACTGTAAAATTGTCAAAAGCTGTAAAAAAGTAGTTTTAGCATATCCTGTTTGCCTGAATGTGGAACATAAAGAAAGCAATAGGAACTGTTTTAAAAGAGTCCCTAAAGCCCTGTTTCCACCAGCCCTCGGCCCTACTCTACTCTACTCAGGAACTCTCACTAGTCTTCACATGCATGTATTCTATGTTTTCAAAGAAATGATTGAATAAGAAGACCACCTTTACTCCGCACAAAGCATCAGACAGTGACTCACTGGGATTTTTCTTAAGTCTCTAAGTATGCAAAAGATAAAACGTTTTCTAAAGAGATAAATACAGTATGTTGTGGTCTCTGTGAACAATTAATACTATTATATCTGTCAGTACTAGCGAATGGTGCTGCAAGTCAAAGATGGCTCTTTCAAATAGACTCCCATGTTTTTAATTGCAGAGGAATGTCTACATGTGTGTTAAATGAAGTAGAAGTGAAACAGAAGCAGTTTCCCACAGAAAAGTCAGTGAGTGAAATATTGCACATAAATCAGCTCTCCTGCGGTGATGATTGACAGGTGAGCTGAGGAGGTAGCCGTGACTCCCCGGGGGCAGTGGCAGCCTCCATGTTGATAGATGACAGACGAGCTGTGTGCGTGTGTGTGTGTGTGTGTTTGTCAGTGTTTCACTCACCGTTACCTTTCTTTGACTAAAACGAAATACTAAAAAGTATCTTGAAAGACTAAAACAATACAAAAGTGCAGATTTCTTCGTCAATGAAGAGTCACAAACCCGACAATAAACAACTTCTACGTCCAAGAACAATGCTACTACTACTCAAACTAAAAATCCTGTTAGTGAAAAGATTACCACAACAACAACAAAAACCGACCACTTTTTAGCTGAGAAAAAAAAAAAAAATTGTCATTACTTTTTATGGCACTAAACCAGCTCTGAGTGAACATGCATCTCCATAAGTGACTCTCTTCCTGTTTGTTTCCATGGAAATGCCGTAATTTTGGCTGTAATCCTCCACAGTGGAGGATCAAACCTACAGAAGTACATCTCCAAAATATTGAGAATATTATGAGAAAGTACAACCATTTTTGGTGAATGAAGAGAGGTAAAGACACATCTGTCCCTGGCTCAAATCTGTCTCCAAAACAGTGAGGAGGAAAAATTAAAGTCCTCCTCTTCAGCTCTATGACCGGTGTCAGAGCATGAT